GGCTGGAGCGGGAAAATGAGCCTTGGATAAGGTTCTCATGTGACGTGGCAACCAGTTTTTATCACTGCGGCCACTCGGCTGAGCCTCTCCGTACTGTCTATGCAGGAGGCACTTTGCTGACGGGGAGAAAGGTTAAATAAAGAGTTCTGCCCTTCAAGAGTTTGCTAATGGTGGGAGACCAGGCTGGAATGCCAGTAAGACACGGCAGAGAGACCACACACATACACAAGAAGGATAAACACAAGATTCAAAGAAGGCAAAATTTTCACCTCGTTGGGGATCAGAAGATGACAGACGGGAAGGAACGACAGGATAGCCGGAGTCTAAGTCTATAAGGTAAGAGAAGAAAGGAGAGAAGGCAGGAGGGGAGTTGAAACAGCGGGTGTCGCCTTTGGAATAAAGTTTGTGGAGTGAAATAGCGGGAGAGATAGTCGAAAGCCAGACTTCAAGAGCAAGCGATGCACCCGGACAGTGGTGGCGCACGCCTTTAATCCCAGCACTCTGGAGGCAGAGGCAGGCGGATCCCTTTGAGTTCGAGGCCAGCCTGGTGTATGTATCTGAGTTCCAGCACAGCCAGGGCTGTTACACAGAAAAAAAGCCCTGTCTCAAAAACAAACAAACACACACACACACACACACACACACACACACACACGCAAAAAAAAAATTAAAAAGGGAAGCAATGTGGCGTGGGGCCATGGTTTAGTACAAATAGCCTGGAGTCTGATGTTTGCTGGGGACATTCGCAGTCACGTCAGGATGTCACTAACCCCGCACCCTGTGCCCGCCTCCTGCAGGGATGGAACCACCTGAGGGAAACCATTAGCAGCCTGACGCCATTTTCACAGTGCACACCTATCTGCCCATCTCCACCGTCCATGGAGCCAGGAGTGCGGGACTGGTCGGGGAGTTAACACCGTCAAAGCACACAGCAGGGTTGCTCCGTTAGCATCCTGGAAAATATTACACACTTGCAAGCCAGCCAAAATAACTGGGTAGTAACTATTTCCCAAATTTATTCTACATACACTTTTTAAAAAATAAAATGAAGAGACAGTTTCCCCTATTTGGAAATGTCACAGTACGTGTCAAATTCATGAAAGCTAAATTTACTTGTGGAAGGCCCTTCTCACCATAAATAAGTCTTTGGTGCCCTCTAGAGGAATATTTTGGTATTCTCTTTAGTGTTTACATTCGACACTTTTTGCCCCTTTCCCAAGCTATAGGAGGTGAGAATCAGTGAAATAGGATCTTCTTGCCCTTAGCTACAAAGGCTGTCAAGGGGACTGACCACGGGAGGTGGGGAGAGGGGTAAAATATTCTTATGCCAGGTCAGTGGATGGAGGGCGCGGTTCTGCACCAGGTCAGTGGAGGGCGCAGTTCCGCAGCAGGTCAGTGGATGGAGGGCGCGGTTCTGCACCAGGTCAGTGGAGGGCGCGGTTCCACACCAGGTCAGTGGATGGAGGGCGCGGTTCTGCACCAGGTCAGTGGATGGAGGGCGCGGTTCTGCACCAGGTCAGTGGATGGAGGGCGCAGTTCCACAGCAGGTCAGTGGATGGAGGGCGCAGTTCCACACCAGGTCAGTGGATGGAGGGTGCAGTTCCACACCAGGTCAGTGGAGGGCGCAGTTCCGCACCAGGTCAGTGGAGGGCGCAGTTCCGCACCAGGTCAGTGGAGGGCGCAGTTCCACGGCTGCTCCCCCTAACCAGTTCTCCCCGTGTCCTCGTGTTAAAGAAGTGAGACAGGATGAGGGGTGAGTCCGGTGCCCCCACTCCTTCCTTTTGGGAGTCTGTGAGGACACGGAGGGCCCCACATGGCTGCTTGGTGACTCTTTCTCAGCGCCCCTCACCAGCTGTCGACAGACGAGGAGATCCGACGCCAGCCGGAGCGTGGCGGCACCGCCCCGCAGTGTGCCTGTGTCTTGGGGTTATCTTACGGCCTTGGGACTGGCATGATCACAGTGGTTCTTTGTTGTTTCTCTTGTTTGGGGTTGTATTTTTGAGGGGGGGGGTTGTTTTCGTTTCTTATGTTTGATGTTTTACTCTTGATTTTGCAGGGAGGCACCACCCAGCTCCCAAGTAAATCACACATTAAGGCTTATTCTTAGTTGTGAGTGCCTGGCCTTGGCTTGGCTTGTTTATAGCCAGCTGTTCTTATCTTAAATTAACCTGTCACCTTTTCCCTCTGGGCTTTTATCTTTCTTACAGAACTTTATCTTACTCTCCTGCTTAACTGTGTGACTGGCTGGGTGGCTGGGTGTCGTTTGGGTGTCTGGGTGTCTGGGTGGTTAGCCCCTGACTTCCTCCTCTCTTTGTTCTGTCATTGCTCCTCCTCTCTGGTTTTTCCTTCTGTTTGTTCTTTCTGTCTGCCAGCCCCGGCCTCGCTATTGGCCGTTCAGCTCTTTATGAGACCACCAGGTGTTTCAGGCAGCAAACGACTCACAGCTTCACAGAGTTAAACAAATGCAGCATAAACAAAAGACACGCACCTGAAAACAATTTCTAGCACATCCTCAGATGCGTTGTGGAGGCAAAGATGATGAACTGCAGGCCCTTCTGCCCCTGCCTCTCACGCGCTGGGATCCCGGGAGTCTGCCACCATGCCTGGCTCCATTTACATTTTTGAATAATAGAGTTCTTTAAGTCGTGCAGGAACAGAGGAATTAATCAAGTAGAATTATTTGTAATTAGAATTCCCCCCCCCCTCGGCAGGCCAAGAAGATAATTAAATACCAAAGCCGTCTTCGTTTACAGTGTTGCAATCGCACAGGCATTGGAGTCTCAAACAGAGCTGTGCAAAGACCTCTGCCCTGTACCATCGGAAGACTGTTGCCTGACCTCCTGCTGCCTGTGCGACCTCACACCAAGTCATCTCCCTGAGCCCCGATTTCCTGTTACCTTACAGGGAGTAAGATGGGGGCTGGAGAGACGGCTCAGAGGTTAAGAGCACCGGCTGCTCTTCCAGAGGTCCTGAGTTCAATTCCCAGCACCCACACGGTGGCTCACAGCCATCTGAAATGGGATCTGGCGCCCTCTTCTGGTGTCCAAGCATAGAACACTATTGCATACATAATAAAACTTTAAAAAAGAAAAGGAACACGTTCCTCCAGGGCTGGAGAGATGATCCAGCAGCCAAGGGCAATAGTTTCCAACAGATAAGTTCCTTGGAAGGGCTTACAGAGCCCTACCAACCCAGGGGATGGCGTGTGCGTCTGCTCAGCCAGTTTTGTGAGCAGTTTAGACATTGACTCCACGTTCCTTCGGCATCAAGAACCCCACAAATGTTTCTTTTGACCCCATTTCTCCAAAGAGCAGCAGCAGGAACTGCTGTCTCACTTGGAGTCTCTGAGCCGCTTCCCGGGGCACTGTCCGTAAACCCTCCACCTAGGAATGAAGGAAGCAGTCCGAGCGACGTCATAGAGCGACGTCATAGTCAGAGCGACGCCATAGTCGAGTGACGTCATAGAGTGGCGCCAAAGGGCACAGTGAGGAAGCAGCTGAGAGACGTAACCAGAGTGACGTCATAGTCAGAGCGACATCATAGAGTGAGGAAGCAGCTAGAGGCCGTAACCAGAGCGACGGCATGGAGTGACGTCATAGTCAGAGCGACGCTGAAGGGCACAGTGAGGAAGGAGCTGAGAGGATGTAACCAGAGTGACGTCATGCAGTAAGGGACCCAGGACAGAACTCCATTCCCAAAAAGTACATTTAAAAGCCTCTGCGCAGAAAACGATAAAGACTACGGTAAGCATTAGTGATTACGATGCAGAAGATATCTCGGGAAATAAACAGACACCAAGATGGGTGTGGCGGCCTGCCATCCCAGCACTCAGGAGGTTGAGGCAGGAGGATCCCCTTGATTTCAAGGCCAGCCTGAGCTACAAAGTAAAAGTGTGTCAAAAGACAGAGAAAGAAAAGTGGGGAGAAAAGGACACAATTTAGTTAGAACCAAACACACCATGTATACATTTTAAACTCTTGAATTGTTTTCCTAAATAAGGAGCTCATTTAAATATGTGTGTAGGGTAAACACACATTTTGTTCATACAGCAGTTACCTAAGCACACAAATTATAAATCTGCGGTCAAAAGTCTCCTGCCTATGTGTCTAGAGAGATGGCTCAGTGGTTAAGAGCACTGGCTGCTTTTCCAAAGGACCTGGGTTCAAATCCCAGCACCACATGGTGGCTCACAGTTCCAGGATATCCAACACCCTCACACAGACATGCAGACATAACACCAAAGCACATGAAATAAAAATAAGTCATTTTTTAAAAATTCCCTCTCTTGTGTCCAGGTGTAGTGACGCTCGCCTTTAACCCCAGCACTCAGGAGGCAGAGGTAAGCAGATCTCTGTGAGTTCGAGGCCAGCCTGGTCTACAGAGCGAGTTCCAGGACAGCCAGGGCTACACAGTGGAACCCTGTCTCAAAACACATGAAAAAGGTCTCTTCTTATACTAATTTTTCAGCACTAACTTATCTCTTTTGCCATTGGAATTGTCCTTGGGAAAAGGCACATTATGAACACATACAAACTATAGTGTCCATTATCAATGACTTCATATGTTTTTCTATTCAAACCCATCTTTTCTACCCAGTCCAAATCTTTCAAAATATTAGATTCTGTGACTATGATTCGAGAATTTTAAGTACTTAATTATAGATGTGCTTGTTAATAAAATTCTGTATGAGTAACTACAGAGTCTCCATAGTTGACATTTATTAGTGTTAAGTAAATTTTACTAAACCAATGGTCTACTAAAATATCAAATAAGAGAAAGACTGAAATTATGGGTTACGTATGATGGAACTTCTAAAAAACATTTTACTTATATTTAATTTCAGCCATCAGTTAATTTTCTAAAACCTGTAAGTGCACTGACCTAAAGTTCAGTATATTTTGCAATTATTTGGAAATTTATTTTTTTTAAAAAATTGAACATTCTGACAGTTATGAAATGCACAAATTTTAAGTTACGTGAAGCAGTGAAACACACGTATGTAACAACCCTGAAACTTCTTTATTTAAAACATTAAGTTATTTAAAGTGGGGATATGAAATACTAAAATAAAATCCTCTCAAAACTCATCGCTTTAAAGAAAATATACAATGGTGTGCATTATAACGCATACAAAACAGGAAATAAATCATCATCTGTCATCAATAGGAAGATTTGCATGTCTTCAGAACAGTCATAATTTTAAGTCAGACGGAACCCGCTGGTCCCTCGGGCTCCTTAGAGCCGTCTTAAATTCCGCTTGCTCTGGGCGCTCCCTGGCAGAGCGTCCTTACCGCTCCGCGGCCTGGCGGGCCCTCCTCTGCACTCTTCCGACCCGTGGTAAGCACACAGACATAACACACAAAAGTCAAAGCCGCAGGCCTCACGGCTGCACAGCCCCCTTCTCTTATACGGCTGGTACTTGGCGGGGGATTGGCACCGTGGGCAAGGTTTTAGCGCTTCGTCACTGAAAAGCGTCCTGGCAACCTGCAGTGGAAACATGACACTCAGTCTTCCAGCGCAGTCCGCGCGTGGCTTTACTCCTAACAGCTGGGGCCCACACTCACCTTGACATACTGGTCCTGCTTACTCCTCAGGTGGGTGAGCGAAGCACTTGCTACAGGTGTCAAAACATCTCCCCAAGGGGACAGAATGGGCACTTGCTCCTTCTGAGAAGTGGGAGCCGGTGCCTGTGCCTGCACGGATCTTAGGGCTGAGCGACTCAGGAGCCGGAGCCGAGTGCCAGCCTCCTGGACGTGTAACACAGCCGCCTGCAGGAAAGACAGGGATGGTCCAGGCTGCAGAATCAGACACTTCCCAGGCAGGGCGGCGTCCTGCCTGGCCTGGATTTCAACTAATGCTCAGGAGTGGTCTCCGACTCCAAGATCTTTCCTTGGATCATTTCTCTTTTCGGGGGGAATTGGGGAACAGGCAATCCCTTCCTGCCTAACTGTTAAGTCAAAGAAAACAAGTTTGGAGATGACTCTTCGGGTAAAGGGGCTAACCATGAAAGTCTGCCAGCCTGGTGTGGTAGGGCTCTCCTATGAGTGGGGTGGGGAATGGAGGCAGGAGAATGGCCTGGAAGTCTAGAGTACAGCAGCCTAAACAAGATGCTGTACCAACAGGTGGACGGGAAGAACCAAGCCCCCAAAGCCATCCCGACCTCAGCGCTTGAGGCTTGGCCTGGATGGTAGTGAACGCTCTCCCTCACCTCTCTCCTCTCTCTCTCTCTCTCTCTCTCTCTCTCTCTCTCTCTCTCTCTCTCTCTCTCTCACACACACACACACACACACACACACACGCCTCTCTCTCCTCACACACACACACACACCCCTCTCTCTCTCTGTCTCACCTCTCTCTGCTTTGAAAAGAATACATTTTGATTTTCTGAATTGCTCTTCCATTTAAACCACTTATTATTGGGAACTTCTCTAAGTAATAGGATGGTATAAAACAGCACGCATGTTAAGACTGGAGGCCATGCAGCCATAGCTGCTCAGTGCTGAGTCGACAGCAGAAATGCCAAGAGAAGAGCCCTCCAGCCAAACGCATTTGAGAATACAGGTGGCAGAAAGCACTTGGCCTACAAACCATGGTTTGCGATCCATTTTAAAGCCAAGATCTAAAAAGAGGAGAATTAGGGGAGGGTTTTCAAAGCCTGCTACGGAGTCTTTGCAAGTTCTTACCTTAAGCACATGTTGGACAGGCAATAGGACTGCTGAGCTCACAGTGTCTTTGGCTGGTTTGCAAAGATCTGGTTCTGATTTTTTTTATGCTTGTTTTCTATAGCCTTGATATTTTTAAAAGAGCAAAAAGCATCTCACATCTGAACTAGAACCCCACATTATTCAAATGTTTCATCAAGAAGTATGTGAATTGGCTTATACTAAACCTTAAAAGGATACAATGTCTCTTTGTCAATGTTACCTCAATAAAATCAGAAAAAAATAATTAGAAAAGCATTTTCAGTAAGTAATCCGTACGGTCTTGTACTTTGTTAAGGTTGTGATGGGGAAAATGTTTCTCTAAAAACAGGCAGAACAGAGCAGCTATCGAGATGAGCACACTGGATGAGTTTCCTTACAACTCAGCTGTAATCGTACTCTTCTCTCTGAAGTCTCCTGAGCTGTAACTGGATCCAACCGGAAAACCCAAACAGGAGAAATTACAGTGGGCTAAGTCCAGGGAAGCAGTTAGCGGGCCATGAGACCTGAAGTAGCTAACGACTTTAAAATATACAAAACTCGAATGCAGCTGCACATACTGAACTCGTTGGAGGACTGTCATTTCTGCCGTTTGTAGCCTAGGCCACGGTGCCCAACCAAGAGCTCCCTAAAGGAACGCCCGCTGGCTCGTGATGCAGCTGGTGAGAGCAGGGTGCATGCACCCCAAAATGCATCAAGCTGTCAGCTGAAGCCAGCCGAGAAGAGACACTTACTCATTTAGTGAGGATTCATGGAGCGCCCAGCCGGCGGCAGTTTGTCTGGTTTTGTTTTTAATGTTGAAGAGACAAAGCAGTCCAGAAAAGCACATGCTGGTGCCTGCTAACGGTCTACAGGACGGTTCTCTCGACTCGTCCCAATGGCCTCACACTTGATGTGTATCACCCCGGCCTCGAATCTGCTAAAAACACTTCACTGTGAAAATGGAGTCATCTAGTGGTTTCTCGTTCCACAAGTGAGAACAGCGAAGAGTAAAGGAGGGCTCTCGGGGGAAAGGCAATGATCCCAGTTCCCGTGGGCACTCGCACCCGTCTAAAGATGGAGGACGGGTGAGGCTCACCTCCTAGCAAATGCGCCCAGCCCGGCATCTTTCTGACATGCTGTACAATCTGAGGAAAATCACTGAACACGTTTTGAAATGTTTCTGTTTTGGCTAGTGGCGTAATATGATAGGCCAGACATGAATGCTTGGGTCCATGTGTACTAGGAGGGCACAGGACTCTGGGATGGTTAATCTCTGAGGGAAAGGAGGAAAGTAGAATGTGCTGGAATTCACACAGATGAGACTTTCGGTTCTTACGTAAGGGAAGATCAATCCAGAGTCTGTAGAGAGAAACACTAAGAGGAGAGACACAGACACGCACACTCAGGGGTTGGGGGAGACAGCCCGCTGTGGAACAGTCTGTGTCCACTGTAAATACACATTACTCTCATTGGCTACTAAAGAGATGACTGCCTATAGCTGGGCAGGAAGAGATTGGGCGGGAGCCAGACGAGGAGGATGCTGGGAAGAAGGGCGGAGTCTCAAGGGTCACCAGCCCGACTCTGAAGAAGCAGCATGGACAATATATAGAGGTAAAGGAGCCTCGGGGCAGCACACAGATGAGTAGGAACGGCTTGATTTAAGTTATGAAGAGCTGGTTAAAAACAAGCCTGAGCTGTCAGCAAGACATTTATAATTAATAAGAGTCTGTGCGGTTATTAGAGTGCCTCACGGGAAGACACGGTGAACCGTCTGCTGGGTGTGATGGCACATGCAGCAATTCCAGCACTGGAGGGACAGAAGCAGGAGGATTGAGGAGTTCAAGGCCAGCCTGAGGTACATGAAACGATGTCTACAAGCAGTCTGGGGAACTGGCTCAGTGAGGAAAGGACTTGTGCAAGCATGCAGAGATGGAGAGCCAGGTTTGGATCCCACCACTCATGTAGAAGCTGGTCAAAGTGGTCCATGCCTGTAACTCCAGCCCTGGGTGGGCAGAGACCAGCCCAGTTTAGCCAAGCTGCTGAGCTCCAGGTTCAGTGAGAGATGCTGTGCTACAAAGATAAGGAAGAGAACCACAGAGGAACACACCTGACATTGACCTCTGACCTCCATGTGCGCGCATAAACAAACACACACACAGAGTACATGCACACACACACACACACACACACACACAAACACATTAAGCACGACACGGTGCTGTAGTCCCAGCAGAGGCAGGAGCTTGTGGTTGGCCTTGTCTACATACAGAGTTCCAGGCTTTCACATAGACCCTCTCTCAAAAAACAAAACACAGAAGTTTAACAGTACATGTCATAATCTTGATATGGCCTCTGTGTCAACCCAAGTCTGATTTGCCCATAAATGGTGATATAATTATGGTCATAAGACAGGAGAAAGTGATCCAGGGAGAGGGTGCTAGGGAGTGTTGAGTGGATGGAGAACTAACTGAATCCCTTCCAGATAAAATAACAAATATCAGCTAGGCATGGTGGCACATGCTTTTAGTCCCAGCATTTGGAAGGCAGAGACAGGTGGACCTCTGAACTCAAGGCCAGCCTGGTCTACAGAGTGAGTTCCCGGACAGCCAGGACTACCCAGAGCCCTGTCTCAAAAATAAAATAAATAAATAAATAAATAGCATTTCAAGTACTTAGAAATACAAGAAACACAAGTGGAGACCAGAACCCTGGTGTGGTGGCTCCTACCTGTAGCCCCAGCACTCAGGAAAGTGAGGCAGGAGAACTACCATGAGTTTGAGGCCATCCTGGGTTACACTGAGAGAGCCTGAACTACAGAGTCGGTGTCTACAAAAGCAGTCAGGACGGGCAAGAGGAGAGTGGTGAGTCCAATCTCACCTCCTCCTCCAGCCTCACCTCCTCTGCCTCTGAGGTCTCTCTTCTTCCTCCTCCTCCTCCTGCTTCATTTAGTTTGTTGTTTGTTTTCGAGACAGGGCTTCTCTGTGTAGGCCCCTGGTTGTCCTGGAACTCACTCTGTAGACCAGGCTGGCCTGGAACTCAGAAATTCACCTGCCTCTACCTTTTAAGTGCTGGGATTAAAGGTGTGGTCCACCACCATCCGGCTAGTTTTCTTCTTTTTAGAATGGCAGTAAGGATGTGAGGGTAAAATGCTTTCTCTGGAATTACTGCCAACACAACCAGGTTTTTTCCTTAGAGAAGTCAAGCAGGAAATGGAGCAGTGGGGTTTACAATTTAAATATTAATAGGTACTTGCTTGAAATTTTTTGTTGTGTTTTGTTCGAGACAGGGTTTTACTGTGTAGTCTTGGCTGACCTGGAACTCAATGTGTAAACCAAACTGATCTCACTCAGAGATCTGCCTGCCTCTGCCTCTGAAGGGGTGGGATTAAAGGGGTATGCCACCATCACCCAGCTATTGGAAACTATTTTTAAGTTTGTCCCTCATATATAGGACAACACTCTTTAAAAACATTATGAGGGCCTGGTAAGATGGCTCGGTGTGTTTAGGTGCTTGTCACCAAGCCTGACAACCCGAGTTTGAACTCAAGATCTTAGGTTGTCTTCTGACCTCCCCAAGACCCACGAGGCGGAAGGAGAGAACATGCTTGTGAGTGCACGCGTGCGCGCGCACACATACACACGCACACACACATGCGCACACACGTGCACACACACGTGTGCACGCACACACTGCACACACGTGCACACGTGCACATACACACATACACACGTGCACACACGCGCGCACACGCACACATGCACGCATGCACGCATGTGCACATACACACGTGCACACACGTGCACATGCACACATACACACGCACACGCGCGCGCACATGCACACACACACGCGCACACACGCACACGGAAGTGGTTATATTGCCAATGGTCCCACTGTCTGGTGCCCCCAGGGTCAGATGCCCCAGCTGTCAGCAGCCAGACACTGAGAACACGACTGATGTTACCTCACAGTAACAAGACAGAACTTTTCCTCAGAGTCTACTTAACTTTGGACCCCAACATCTCACTGAAAAGAGAAATTCACAAGTGTGTATTTAGATGGTGTTATTTGTTTGCATAATTTTCCATCTGTTATTATGGTGCTGCCATTGTCCATTACACAAAGCCCTGTCTCTGAGAAGAACTCATACGTTTCTTTAAGGTTTGCCTCATACGTCAAAGCCAGACCTCAGATTCTCAAAGGAGGGCAAGTTACGGCACGCCTCAGCCTGCCATGGGCCCCCTCCCGTGGGCCCTGCTCCCCTGCTAGACACTCCCCTGTCTCCCCCACCTAGCTGGCCACTAGTGCCTGGTCCAGGTCTCAGCAGGGTGATCTTTTGATTCCCAGGGACCTGTTCAGCAGCCCTTTCAAATGTCACTCAGAACCTGAGACCCCTTGGCACACCTGCGCTGTAGGCACGTGTCCAGCTGTAGCATCCCAGCACGTGACCCCCAAGCATCAGGGGCCATGTCACAACGCCCATCGCTGTCATCAGAGCAACTGGCACAGTGGCTGACATACAGTGCGTGCTTAAGAGACTGGGATCTTTAAGTGCTACAGGGGTATCTAACTGTGGAGGAGGCTCCAGCGAGTCATCGGTAGGTTTGAACGCTGTCAACAGGCCACCGTGTAAACAGCTTGGCTCCTCTGGTACTTCTAAGGGAACGTTTGCTAGATGGAAGAGACTCACAGATCAAAGACCAAGCGTGCGGCTCAGTGGCGGGGAGTCACTAGCTACGAGCCACTTCTAGGAAGCGTTACCCACATTACCTGAGCATCTGCCTTCAACTGTATGATATAAAGTTTCCTCCTCTCGTTTGCCTTTTTATCCTGCGCCACAATGTCACGCCAGTTTCTGCTGACGTTCCAAGCACTGCAATAAACAAGTCACTCTATTACTGCATGTTCTCCAAAGGCTGGCATTTTCTTATGAGGTGACCAATAATAAAAACAACTGTAAGGATCTTGAATGGGAAATGTAAGCTTAAACTTATATAATAGTATCATTTGATCAACTCATTGTTTCAGATCAGTTTACCATATGAAAGAATTCCTGTTAAGATACTAATCACATAGTGGCATTATCTTGATTGATCACTGTTTCATTTAATTTTTAAAAATATTCATATATTTGTTTAGAGGGTGTTGGGAGCAGGGGAAGGCACATGTGTGCCATGGTTCTCAAGTCTGGTCAGAGGACAACTAGTGAAATTCGGTTCTCTTCTCCAGCATGTAGATCCCGGGGATTGAACTCAGACCATCAATACTGGTGGCAGGTGTTCTTACCTGCTGAGCCACGCTGCCGGCCCTGTACACCAACATGAGTCACGGATGGTGGTTTGTACCTGCGACCCAGGCACTGGGGGAGATGAGGCAGGACTGCCCTGAATGCAGAGCCAGTCTGCGCTACATACTGAGTTCAGGGCCAGGCTGGGACACAGTGAGATCCTGCCTCAAAATGACAGCAACAGCAAAAGTAATAAAGCAAACGCAAGCCACGGGAATGCTAGGGTCATGTGCTATTCGATTATAATTTTGGAACGCAACATGCAGCAAATGGTTATCAACTAGTATGAGGAGCTCAGTGGATTCCTCCTAGTCCTGTATCTAGCGCATCTCGGTCACTTTCAGCCAAATAAACATCAGAACGACCCTTAAGCAATAACCCTGGAAGCAGTAAGGGCCAAATAAGAGACACTCTTGCGTGTGGCACCCATCTGATGACTCGGGTTCTATTTCTAATGCCGAAGAGCGTCCCGATGTTGCTTTTACTCACAAAGCTTAGGCAGCAGCTACAACCCAGCTACAGCCCAGCCTCCAGCCCCTTTACCTCAACAGCTCCAACTACTTAGTGAAAAGAAGTTAGTCTTTCTCTCTCGTTCTAATTTAGCCAACCACGTAGAGAGCACAAGAAAACTGAGACAGGCACTCGGGTTGAGGGCCCAGGCAGCACCCCTGCTGTCAACGCTGCTCTGTATTCCCTGGGGCCAGGCAGGTACCATCACCTCTCTAAGTCAATCTATGCGCTCTTCACCACACAAGAGGGGGGCGCAAAGCCACCCGTTAGAAAGGAAGCCAGCACCAGAGGTTGGCCCAGTGGAGAAGGGCAAGTGCCATGTCCGCATGACAGCATGAGCCTACTACACATATGCATGGAAGTGGAAAACTGATCCCACAGTGTCATGGCAAGCAGGAGCACATACATACACACATATGCACACACGTGTGTACACACACAAATGGGCACATACCTGTGTGCACACACACACGTGAGCACATACCTGTACACATACACCCCTGCACGCGCGCACACACACACACGCGCGCACACAACACTTCTCCATAACTATCTCATCTCCATCCCTCATGTTACCAAGAAGAGTACCATTAAGATCATAAATATACATTCTTTGCTGCAAATCACTTAAGTATGACTAGTACCAGTGGCTCACATAAGCAGCCACCCAAACTGCCACCCAGCATGCTGACTTTCCTGCACTGAAATACTCCAACATTTGAAAATGACATTCTTGTATTCAGCCATGTTAATTTTCAGACAACTTATTATTTGAGCACTTCCGAAAGGCACACGCAGATGCACACAGATGTGCCCATGTTATCTATCTTGGCTATTCCATGTGCTTTACCACACACACTCTGAAAGGAGGCAGAACATAGTTTTCAGGAAGATACTGGATGAAAAGGTCAGAGAGCCTGGTGGGGTAGACCTCCATCTATTTCTGGACGGCTTTCTCCATCTGCAAACCAGACAGGTAGACAAGATGCCTCAGAAGACTTCCAGCAACAAAAGGCACCACTTCCTACAATAGCCTAGGATAGGTGTGTGGGAGGGAGGAGGCAAAGATGGGGTTTGGGAGCAGCAGCCATAAAGACAGCAAGGACATCATCCACACGGCATCTTCCCATCAAGAAAGAGATTCACCCCGGGCGTTGGTGGCACAGCCTTTAATCCCTGCACTCGGGAGGCAGAGACTGGTGGATCTCTGTGAGCTCAAGACCAGCCTGGTCTACAGAGAGTTCCAGAACAGCCTCCAAAACAATACAGAGAAACCCTGTCTCAAAAACGAAGAAGAAGAAGAAGAAGAAGAAGAAGAAGAAGAAGAAGAAGAAGAAGAAGAAGAAGAAGAAGAAGAAGCAGAAGAAGAAGCAGAAGAAGAAGAAGAAGAAGAAGAAGAAGAAGAAGAAGAAGAAGAAGCAGAAGAAGAAGCAGAAGAAGAAGCAGAAGAAGCAGAAGCAGAAGAAGCAGAAGAAGAAGCAGAAGAAGAAGCAGAAGAAGCAGAAGAAGCAGAAGCAGAAGAAGAAGCAGAAGAAGAAGCAGAAGAAGAAGCAGAAGAAGAAGAAGAAGAAGAAGAAGAAGAAGAAGAAGAAGAAGAAGAAGAAGAAGAAGAAGAAGAAGAAGAAGAAGAAGAAGAAGAAGAAGAAGAAGAAGAAGAAGAAGAAGAAGAAGAAGAAGAAGAAGAAGAAGAAGAAGAAGAAGAAGAAGAAGAGATTCACATGGATGGCAAGAGGGTAAGACACTTGTCACCAAGCCTGAAGACCCAGGACCCACATGGTAGAAGGGAAGAGCAGACATCTGTAAGTGACCCTCTGACCTCCACGTGTAAATTACTAACAATCTCTTTAAGGAGGGTCTCGTGGCTTCTGTCTGTCCTCACTGGCATGTGTGTCCCGCCCTGTGACAGCCCTGCAGTACCGCATAATGCCAGCATGAAGTCTTGTTTGTAGTCTGTAGTCACTGTCATCCCAATCCCCAAACCTCCGCTTTTCTCTGTAATCTCGAAACACCGCAAAATCTATTACACTATCTGTGGACATGAGTTCTTCACATTCTAATCCCTAAGACACAACTACCTCTCTCGGCTGCGTTAGCAACAAACAAGGCATATACCCACAGCCTCTGAAGACTGAACCCTAAAATGAAAGCTAGCTAGCTTCCTTAGATTCTAGAATTTGGACCAAATAATCATATCCATTATTTGTGATAGCTTCTTGGTCATCATAATTATTTCTCTTATTTCTAATCAGGTGTCACAACTTTAAAACAATTTGTATTTGGCAAATGAAATGTGAATTTTTAAATAAAACATTTAAAAATCAGTGGAATACATTGGGCGCACATCTTGTAACACCAGAACCTGAAAGGTGGAGGCAGGAGAATCAGGAGTTCAAGGTCATCCTCAACTACAAAGTGAGTACAAGGCTAACCTGGGATATGAGAGACCCAGTCTGTCTGTCTGTCTATCTGTGTCTCTGTCTGACAGTTTGATTCTTTCTCTGCCTGTCTCTCTCTCACACACACACTTTCTCCCTCTCACACTCCATACACCCCATGAAAATGCACACTCACACATATCACACATGCACACGCACACATACACTTTCTCTCATACACACCTCCCTCTTTCCCCCACCTCTCTCTCTCTCTCTCTCTCTCTCTCTCTCTCTCTCTCTCTCTCTCTCTCTCTCTCTCACACACACACACACACACACACACACACACACACACACACACGGTAGGAGAGCCTGGAGACAAGACTCAGTTGATGAAGTGCTTGCTATGTAAGCAAAAGGACCTGTGTTTGGGTCATCATCACACACATAAAAGGCCCAGCTAGGAGCTGGAGAGGTGGCTCAGAGGTTAAGAGCACTGACTGCTCTCCCAGAGGTCCTGAGTTCAATTCCCAGCACCTACACCATGGTTCAAAACCATCTGTAATGAGATCTGGCGCCCTCTTCTGGCCTGCAGAGACACATGCAAACAGAACACTATATACATAATAAATCTCAAAAACAAAACAAAACAAAAACAAAGGCCCAGCCCACACTTGTAATCCCAGCGTGCAGAGGTGGAGTCTGAAGGATCCCAGGAGCTTGGCCAGCCTAATTGGTGAGCTCTACTTTCAGTAAGAGACCTTGTCTCAAAAAGTAGGGTGGGAAGCAATTAAGACGGATTGAAAAATATGAATTGACTTCTGGTTTCTACACACACGCGCACACACACACACACACACACACACACACACACACACACACAAACACTTGCACGCACACACCCACAACCACCAACATCTTGATTTTTCTATTCCTAACCTGGACATGAGCAACCTTCTGCCCCAGCCTCCCAGGTATCTGGGGTTACAGGCTGCACCTTTTAGTTTTGCTTTTAAACAGAGGGGATTACTTAGCAATCTCTAGTAGGCAGGTCACTTAAACAACCTCTGAGACAGTGTAATAAACCAAAGACAGAAAAACAACGAAACAAACACCACTTTAAAAGATGGTAAAGTTTTTATTTCTTACCTGTATAAACTCTCTGAGGTCAAGGAAGCTAAAACCATAGCTAAGACATGCTTCAAATTTCTATACTGTAACTCTGTCAAGATATCCAGCTGCTCTATGCCCATCTTCTTGCCAATCAGTCCGGCCAGAACACGCTGCAACCTGCCTATTGTCCCCTCGTCCCTTTCCTCGAAGACCTCCTCCTGCGGGAACTGCTTCCTTTTGCTCTTCACGAAGAGCGCATGCACTAGCTGCAAGGCTGGGGTGTTTGATAAGTTCTGAAAGCTTGGAGTCGGGTCCCGGATCTTCTCGCCCACGCCCGCTGCAGAGGTGGGAGGGACCGGCTGCTTCTCCTCTTCCGTCTCTGATTGGGAGCCCTGCTCGCGGAGGGTGGACAGTCTTCTCTGCCTCCCAAGATGCTTTGGCTTTCTTATCAGGTCCCCGGCTCTGGGCGTCCCCCTGTGTTTCTGAAGCAGCTCTTGCAAAGAGCCCTCTTGGTCGGAGAGGGAGTCTTCTGACTTATCCCAGGTGAGCGAGCCGAAGCCACTGTCTTCAGGTGTGGAAACGCTGTCTCTCACCTCCGCCGAAGAACAAAGCGCTTGACTGCCTTGAAATCTAATTTTGGACATGAGACGGCTCACTGGAGTCACAGACGTGGTTACATCTGCTCCTGAGGACGTCTGGCTACCACCGGAGGAGCCCAGAAGTTCGGGACACGTGTTCTCATCACTAACACTTAAACTGCTGTCGCTAAAGTCGTGTGTGACAGAACCTTTAAACTCATCGCCTTGGATTGGAGACAGACATTCCACTTCGAATAAGCTGCAGTCTCCCGTGGAGTCATCAATTGTGGAAGTCTTGTTCTGGGAGAAACTTAGCCTGGAGCTCTGGCTGCTGGAGGGCACACCCTCTGTTTTTATGGTGCTGGTGACTAATGGGCTGAAGTTGTCCTGCTTGGGGAGACTGGAAGCCCCGGCTGGAAGTTGCTTTCCTGGGCTAAGAACATGGCTTACCCTGCTTTCTAGAGAACCGCTCTGCGGGTCAGAGTCCCCCTTCAGAAGCATGAAAGACAGGTCGAGCCGCCTGCGTAAGCAGCGCGGTTTCCTTCTGGCTTTGGGGGTCTCACAGAGCTCCGGGCTTCCCCGCTTCTCCTTCCTTGGGAACATGGGTATCCTTCTCTGAGTGGGAGATGCTGCGGGATGGGCTGAGCCTCGGCTTGGCGTTTCAAGACGCTCACAGGTTAACGCTGGGCCTTTTTCTTTCCTATCATAGCTGCAAGTCTCTGACAACTCACCAAGTTGTTGAAAGGAAGACAGGAGACAAAAGTCTCTGGGACCCGGCCACCTGACGGTGACAGCAGGGAAGTCCACTCTGCTGCCTGCTCCAGGGATGGCTGGGTGCCTCTGGGCCATCTTCAAGCTCTCTGCTTTAACAAAGCAAAAACAAGCTTATTCCTCCTTTGCAATGAGGAGCCAAGCAGCTTACACCAAAACATATTATTTGTGAAAAAAACAGAGGATGGGAAATTATATCATGATTTTCTTCAGAAGTTTCTTAAAAAGCAAATCTCCATAATATACTGGCATATATTTCCTACTTAAAACAACACTTCACTATGAAACTAGAATATAAATAACCTGATTCTTGACAGTTGTAAGCAAAGAACCATGCACAAATATTTTATTGAAATATTCTTGACTTTTTTCATTTTGGTTTTTTTTTTCTCTCTGAGACAGGGCTTCTATGTGTTGCCCTGGCTGTCCTAGAACTTACTTTCTAGACCAGGCTGGCCTCAAAACTCAGAGATCTGCCTGCCTCTGCCTTCCTAGTACTGGGATTACAGGCATGCACCACCAGTGCCCAGCATTTGAAACAATCAACAAAAATAACAAAATCAAATGATTTTGCTAACTGAAGAATGTACGTCCAGTTTCAATATCCTTGTTTGTGTTCGGGTTATTTTCCTCTCAAAGCTCTGGAACGACTTAAAAATCATGGGAGGCTGGACATATGGCTCAGAGGCTGAGAGCCTGTGTTGTTCCTGGGAAGGACCCGGGTTCAGTTCCCAGCACCCACATTAGGCAGCTGACAGCTGCCTGTAACTCCAGGTCCCAGCTGCCCTCCTCTGTTCTCTGTGGCACTGTACGAGTGCACATACATAGACACGCATGGTTAAATAAAATAAAATAAAAATCACTATTCTCCCTCCCTCGTTCCTTCCTTTTCTTTCTTGTGGGTGTGTGTGACACACCTGCAAATACACCATGGGGAGTAGAGCTTGTGGGAACCATTTCTCCCTTTAAGCCATGTGGATCTGGTGGTCTGCGTCACATAAGTTAAATGTATGTGTAAATTCAAATATTACAAAATTGCTATGATAAACACAATATTAGATCATCTTTGCAAAGTAATTTTTAAATCCCTATTCCTTTCTGACAGTTTTGATTCCCTGTGATCGCTGCTGCTAAGTGCTCCACATGCCCGGGAGGTCAAGATGATTAAACCTGGCTTTCAACAAATCGCATTATGCTTCAGAATTTGGTGACTTTGGGTCAAGTGCTTGTGTTTTAGTCCGTGTGACCTTGGGGAATGTAACAGCTCCGCCACGTCACCACTAGGTGGCGCACCAGCCTAGGATTTGGGGAAATGAAGCCGAGACCGTTGGGAATAAACTGCGAGCCCAGATGGGTGCCCTCTCCCCGAAGAAAAACCACAGCGGCCTTCTGCTGTCGTCTCTCTCCTCTTTCCTGTACCCACAAATGCCTGCCTCGAAACGCTGAACATCGTTCACGCAGCCACAGGTCGCCCGGCTTACTCTTGTTCTGACCCCACGGTTGACTGACGACTCAAACAAACCTCTCTGATGCCTCTTAAAACACAAACCGACAAACGGGGGCTGACAACAGGGCTGGCAGAACTCCCGTCTGCAAAGAAGACTCGGTGAAAGCGGGCGGCCTCACTGGTTCAAGCGCAATGCCTTACCCTCATCAGCCAACCCCGAGCTCTTAAGACACGTCAAAGTAAGGTAGGCTCCCAGATAACCAAGTCTCTCATCTTCGCCTCTGGAGCTCATGCCGAGTTACAACCACCACTGAAAGAGAGAAAAACCTCAATCAACGGAGCCCCCGGCGGCTACGGCTCGACTGGACGGGCCAGGGAGGTCAGGTCGCCGGGGGTGTCTCCGCCGGTGGCAGCCGCACCCCCCGGCCTTCCCCCGCCAGTCCCGGACGTGGGGAACCTCCCCGATCCCAGGCCTGAGCCGCCGGTGCGGGCGGAGCTAACGGTCGTCACCCGGGCGAGCGGGGAGGAGGGGGAGCGGCGGCGCGGGCGAGCAGGGCGAGCAGGGCGAGCCGGGCGGGCTCACCTGGGCCACGCCCGCCCCTCCTGGGGCCCGGAGCCTCTTGCAGGGTCCGAGGCCACCGTCCGTCCTTTCCCTCCCTCGGTCCAGCTGCTCGCCCGCCCCCACGCAGAGGGGTGCGTCTGTTAGAAACCGTGCGGGGCTGGAGGGGGGGTGGGGTCGTCACTGGCAATGTCTGGCCTGAGGCTCGGTGTCAGAGCAGCCTGCCAACCGATCAGCATCGTGACTGACTTGCTTACTGCTTGATTCGGTGGCCTCAGGGAGTCCAGGCCGGCCTCACACTTAACTTGCTAGGTAGCCAAGGCTGCCCCGGAAACTGCCCATCCTCCTGCCTTCATCTCCCAAGCGCCAGGATTAGAGGGGTGCCGCCACCAAACCCAGCAAGAATTACGACACCCCCACCGTGTGTGTGTGTGTGTGTGTGTGTGTGTGTGTGTGTGTGTGTGTGTGTGTGTGTAGAGAGAGAGAGAGAGAGAGAGAGAGAGAGAGAGAGAGAGAGAGAGAGAGAGAGAGAGAGAGAGAGAGAGTTAACAGGTGTGGTCCAGGCTGGACTTGAACTCCGACCACACTCGGCTAATGATTTTTAAAAATAGTTCTTTTATATTTTTGTCCTTGTTTCTACAACGAACAAAGATACGTCTTGTGAACAGAAAAAAAGAAAAGAAAAGATGCAAAGCACTTGCCCACCGTCTCTGCAGGATCCCCATAGAGACCAGCTCTGTACACATACCAAGTTTCAGGCTAGCCTGGGCTACACGCCACTGCCTTGAAAAAACAACCACACAAGAGTTATGAATAAATAAGAGAGACTGTTCATTATGTTCAGACAATTCCTTCCTAGGGATCAGAAACACCCACTAACCTCCAGTGCTAAGTACACTTAAAGTCCTGACTTTCATTCGCTGTTTCCTGGGTGCTGAATATGGGCCAGACGCAGACCTGTCACCCTGCATGGCTTCTAGCTGTCTGCTTTGGGGACCTCTCTTCCTAGGTCCCATCTAGGTACCTCACCACCCCAGGTTAACATAGTTCTCGTTCAGAACCTCCGCTGCCTCTAACTTGAGGATGTTTCTCTGCCTGGCTGCCCCTTAGGCATTGTAAACGTGGGTGTAGTAGATCTAAACTCAAACTGACAAATACTAAGCTCAAACTACATGCTAGATACTCATACAAAGACAAACAGGGCACAGCTTGTTAACAAGGCTCGTTTGTGGAACAGATGAGCCCCTCCCTCCCTAGGGCTCTGAGCAGGTGGTAACCATTATTAAAATGCCATGTCTCAGCTGTCAAGAGCACTTGCTGCTCTTCCAAAGGACCCGGGTTTGGTTCCCAGCACCCGTATCACACTGACAACCGCCCATGACTGCAGGGGATCCGGCACCCTTTTCTGACCTCTGCAGGCATCTGTATGTCCTCACACAGATGCACGTCTTAAAATGTTTAAAGTCACTGTGCTTGTGGCAGTCACTCTTCCAGTTCGTTTTCCTGTAAATAAGGATGCTGGGGTGTGGGCAATTTGACTCCCTAATTAGCAGCCGCTATGCTCGACCTTGCTGCCCTGATTGTCTCGGGCAAAAGGACTGGCAGTCAAACAGAGAGCCATGTCTATGCCAGCGCCAGCTGTTCTGAACACTCCACCGACGCCTTGAGAAATCTACACCGCTCTCTCCGATTGTGCTCCAGCTTCTGCAGAGGCGGCTCCGTCGTTCCCGTTTTCTTTGCGTGATTTTTGGTTTGTTTGTTTTACTTTTTTTTCCCCCCTGCACTTTTGGCTATCCCAAGCCCTGGTGATCTCTCAATGGCCCTAAAACCATCCCATTTAGGCCAGAGTAGCAACACTTCCTCCCCCAGTGACCCAGCAGAGAGACGCCTTTGACGGGTCCAAAAGGGCAACACTGTACTTGCAGTACATGCCTCTGGCTGAGTTGCCCAGGAAACACCCTGCTGTGATACCTGCCTTGCTTTTGCAATGTCAGGCCCCATAAAAGTCTTCTTGCCTGCTCCTATTTCTTTTATTCATCTGGTTTTTAATTTTTTAGATTTGCGTGTGCATGCGTGTGCGAGGGCACGCTTGCTTCCGCACGCATGTGAAGGGCGTCGTCAAACCTGACCGAGCCTATTCTCCCCTTTGAGCGTGTGGGTCCCAGGGACTGAACTCTGTTTGTTGGGCTTGGCCATAAGCACCTTTACTTGTTAAGCCTGAGTAGTGGGGGCTGACGGGGAGGAAGTGACTTGAAGTCAGAAGTTGGCCAAATGCCGCGTCCAGGTGGCCGGCTGCTTGGCCGATGGAGAGGGGTTGACCGAGGAGCTCCAGAATGTTGGCTGGGGCAGGAACAAGGGGTGGGGAGGTAGAGCGGGGGAGCAGAGTGGCCTAGGGCTGTAAAGAGCCAGGGAATGGAAACCTCAGGCCCTGGTGGCCAAGGAGCACCGGAGACCTGGCAGGATGTTAGGATCTCAGACGCCTGGATCCCGAGAATTGTATCCCTGGCCACATGTCAGGGCTAAGGAGTCCAGACTGATTAATGGTGCTGGTACCGTTGTCTTCATAAGATCTGAATCTACGCAAGGCCTGTGTGAGAGCCAACAGTGGGGAGCGCCACTCTCTCTGGCTTTCCGCTACTGCTCAGCTCTGGAGCTGGAAATGCTGCAAAGGCCAGCATTTGTCAAGCCGGTCTTTGCTACCGGCAGTTTCTATCTGGGTAGAGCAAGAAGACCCCGGCCGCCCTTGCTGGTAAGGCTGGCACAGGACAGGACGGTACTCTAAGGGAGTAACAGCGGCGGCACAGAGAACACACCAACTCCACAGAGTGCGGAACACCATGGAGTAAGCACCATGGAGTGAGGAGGGTTTTGATGGGTGGAGAGCTATTAAACGGCGGACGACGGAATTCCAAACTTAACATGCAAGAGCATTAGGAAAGCTCTCGGTCACTCATTACAGACTTCAATGCAGAGAGTCCTCTCGTCTGGGGACTCTCAGGAATCTGGGGACCCGGATGGCATGTCTCAGGCTGAGAGAGAAAACTGCTGAGGGGCTTAAACCCCTAGACACCCAGCTTGCAGAAGATGAGCTACTTCAAACAAGCGACAGGGGCTACAGACATAAACAGAGAACAGCCAGGGATGCTGGATCCCCAAAGCTAGGCCGTGTGGGGTCCCTGTAATCGGCCGAAAGATACTTCCGAGGGAAGTGACATAAGCGACACCATCTACAAAGTCGGAGCTGAAGGAGGGACAGAATATGAAAGACTGGATTTTATTGCCAGCTGCACATGTCACCTGAAATGATATAATGCCTTGTTTTTTTGATACTGTGGAGATACTGCTTTAATGGAAATGATCCCTGATCCTCCCTTAGTAGATTTTAAAATCTAAAAATCAATTAAAATCATGTTTATAACTTAAAAATTGTAGCCAGGAGTGGTGACGCAACCTTTAATCCCAGCACTTGGGAGGCAGAGGCAGACGCAGGCGCATGTCTTGCGAATTTGAGGCCAGCCTGATCTACATGGGGAGTTCCAGGCTGAGATTCAGTGACAGTGACAATGATGATGATGACATAGTGTTACAGCTGGGAACCATGGCATAATGGCTGAAAGGGCAGGAGAAAAGCTTGACAGGTGGGGACATTAGTCTCAAGAATTTTGGATGAGGCCAGGCAGTGGTGGTGGCGCACACCTTTAATCCCAGCACTTGGGAGGCAGGCGGATCTCTGTGAGTTTGAGGCCAGGCTGGACCAACAGCCTCCAAAACAATACAGAGAAACCCTGTCTCGAAAAACCAAAAAAAAAAAAAAAAGAATTTTGGATGAATGCTAAGGCTCTGAGGTTTATCCTTCAGGCAACGAGAGCATCTTAGAAAAACGGAGGACAGAATGGAACGGAGTGAGGACGCTGGAAGGAGACCAGTAGAGAGCTGCCGTGCTACTCAGGAAGACAGCTAGTGAACAGCCTGGACCAACATGCTCAGCGGCAGAATCAGCAGCATGGGGGGAGGAGGGGGTGGGGCGAGGGGGTAACAGAACTGCCTTTGGGGGGAGTATGGTAATAATGTAATGTTAAGGGGCCGATGCCCCCCCACTCCCACATGCAATAAATGGCGCTCTCCTGTCCCTTCAGATAAAGTCTTCCTTATAGCCATTTCACCCTGCTTTGCTCAGTGATGACAACCCTCCCCCCTGCAGCTCCCCCTCCCCTCTGCAGCCCCCCCCCCAGGCGTCTTCTTCTAAAATTCACTTATCTAGAGTGGGGGGATAGAGCTCAGTTGGTGGAGCATTTGCCTCACGTGCGTGAAGCCCTGGGCTAACCCGGCAATGCACACACTGGTCACCGTGGCAGCACAGCTGTAATCTCAGCGTCTGGGAGGTGGGGGCGGGAGGACCACAAGTTCAAGGTCATCAGCTACACGGATCTGAGGTCAGTCGAGGATGCAAGGGCATCTCCTCCGACCAATAGGATGATGTGATAGTTTGAATGTATTTGGCCCCAGTAAGCTCATCGGGAATGGCACTATTAAGAGGTGTGCCCCTTGTAGGAGGAAGTGCGTCAACGTGGCGGTGGGCTTGGAGGTTGCATATACGCCCAAGCCACACCCAGTGTCTCCGTTCACTTCCTGTTGAATTCTCAGCTCCTTCTCCAGCACGGTGTCTGCCTTCATGCCACCATATCCCACCATGATGACAACGGACAAAGCCTCTGCACTGTGAGACACCCCAGTTGAATGTTTCCCTTCCTAGGGAAACCTAACTAGGCAGATGATATACTTGTCTGGCAAGAGGAGATGCTATAATCATGAAGATGGTTTTTCCCAGGGGCGAGGCTTGTCCACTGAATTCTAGATGTGATGACACCAGCAATCTCCCCAAATGCGGGGGACTCAGCTGCACAATTCATGGGTGGGCTGCATTCATACTCTCCTTCAAAAATAAAGGATGTAATCTACTTATTTACACCCCGATGTAAATAAGGAAGGACTATTTGCGGTGGCTATAAATGTCCAGATAACCGCTGTATTGCCATTTTTCAGATTTAAAGACACTTACTTTATTTCATGGTCTAATAAAGCTTGCCTGGAGATCAGAATACAAGGCTAGCCTCAGCCACACAGGCCAGGGAGTGGTAACACACACACACACACACACACACACACACACACACACACACCCCTTTAATCCCGGCACCAGAGAGGAATAAAAGACGGGAGCTCAGGGTCTCAGACTGAGATGTGTACTGGGAGGGAGAACCTGTCTCTTAAATTTTTTAAGAATGGACAACTGTTTGGATAAGTTCGCTTTCTCCACTCCATTATGGATGAACATGAATGATGTGAGCATATGCGCTTTACTGAATTAAACATTTGATCTTTGAGAGCTCTCTCTCTCTCTCTCTCTCTCTCTCTCTCTCTCTCTCTCTCTCTCTCTCTCTCTCTCTCTCTCTCTCTCTCTCTCACTCTGTGCGAGCAAACACCGGAGGGCGGGTACTGCAAGAAAAAGCTGAAGCCACCAACTGGTGGGAGCAATGGATGGGGCTGCTTTGTGGAGGGAAGCCTTTGCCTCCCAGTGGGAGGAGGAGGGATGGCATCATCGCTTGTGCTGGTGATCTCAGCACCCAGGAGGCAAAGGTGGAGGGCTGCGTGGGCTTAGGGCCAGCCTGGGCAACACAGAATGAACACCACGCCTCAGACCTCCTCTTTGTAAGCATTTCGAAGGATCGGATGTGATGGACAGGGATGGATTATGGCACTCGGGAGCCAAAGAATACTAAATGTTACAGGTCGGATGGAAAGGTATCCTGGAGCTCGGGAGCCGAGGAGTACCACAGGTCACAGTAAGCTTAGCAGCTTACAGCCCTGACTCAGGGAAAGGCTTCCCCAGTGTATCGGCTCTGCTCCAGCAGGAGGGGATTTGCGAAAGAAGGTGTCACCCAAACCTCATTCAAGAGACTGGGAGGGAAGAATCCAGCTGGGCACTACGAACAGACACAAACTGAATAGACACAAGGTTTATACAGGGCTTCCAGGGTGGGGATTTCAATGCTGAGCTCAGATTGGCTAGAGCTCTACTAGAGGATTGGTTAGTTTTCTGCACAGGGTCAGGGTCAGATTTGACTCTGGATTCAGGGAAAAAGTGTGTTTCTTTCTCTGGTCCTTTTTATTATTATTATTATTTTTTTTTTGGTTTTTCAAGACAGGGTTTCTCTGTATTGTTTTGGAGGCTGTCCTGGAACTCACTCTGTAGACCAGGCTGGCGTCGAACTCACAGAGATCTGCCTGCCTCTGCCTCCCGAGTGCTGGGATTAAAGGCGTGCGCCACCAACGCCCGGCTTCTCTGCTCCTTCTCAGCCTTTTGGCTCTAGTTTCATGGTCAGGGTGCATTTCTCTCACTGGCTCTGATCCCAGGGACAAAGTGTTCCTTTGGCTCTGCTCAGGGCGTGTTTCGTCCGCCAGGCCCTTTTCCCTAGACTCTTTCCCTCTCTCTCTCTCCACCCCGCAAACAGAGTGGAGAGGAGGGGAGCCCGGGAGAAGGCAGCAAGCCGAAGAGCCTGTCGCCGTTTGCCCGGGCAAGGCCTCCGGGAGGCTTCCGCCATCTCTGCGCCCTTGGAGAGGCTCGAACCTGCGGGTGCCAAGCTGCGGCGTCCCTGGGGAGCGAGGGAAACAAACAAATCATCCACACGGGCCACCAAAGAGGAGCAGAGGCTCGGGCCAACCGGCTCCAGACACAAACGCACCGGGCCAGCTCAATTTAACGGGGCGGAGGGAGCGGGGCTCCTGCGTCATAACGCGGCGCCGGAAGTCCGCGGTCCGCGCCGGTAGCGAGTCCGCCTCTGAGGACCGGCGGAAGTTTTGGCGTGCACCACCGAGTCGCTCATTTGAGCTGCTGGGGTAAGAGATCGGCGGCTGGGGCTTTCGGAAGTGAATCAGGGGGCAAACAACAAAACAAAACTGGTTTTAAAACGTTCCCGGGTGGCCGGGAGAGGGAAGCGGAGGCAGGGGAGTGCCCACGCCTTCAGCAGGCAGACACCGGGACTTTAGGGTTGGCTTAGGCTGTGCAGCGAGTTCGGGGCCAGCCTGGGCTGCAGAGGGGAGCGTCTTCCCAAGACCAAACACGTAAATAAATGATTAACGAGAAGGCGCCCGGTGGAGTCAGTGACGGGAGAGGCTTTGCTGGAGTCGCCGCCCAGCTCCGGGTCCCTTTGCTCTGCTTACTTTTATTTCATGTTTTTGCTTTGCTTATTTTTATTTCATGTGCATCGGTGTTATGCGTGGGTGTCAGGTTCCCCTGGAACTGGGGTTACAGACAGTTGGGAGCCGCCACGTGGGTGCTGGAATTGAACTCAGCACCTCTTAGGGAGCAGCCGGTGCTCTTAACCTCTGAGCCGTCTCTCCAGCCCCCCTTTGCTTCTCAGTGGGGATACAGTGGGCACAAGCCGCTGTGCTGAGCCTGGGTTGCTCCGTGTGTGAAGAGTGATGGATTTAATGTTGTTGGGAATGCGTCCTTCAGGAATTATGATTTTATTTTCCTCCTCCTGTAAGGCTGGGGTTTGATCCTCGAGCCGCTGCATTCCGGGCAAACAATTCTACACCTGAGTTTTTGCTCCTCATCCCGGAGTCATCAAGTGATGACCTTGTGATTCGGTCTTTGGCTCTGATTTCAGGCACCAGCAATGGACACGCAGAAAGACGTCCAACCCCCAAAGCAGCAGCCGATGATATATATTTGTGGAGGTAAGATTAGCATTTAAGTAGGAACTTTTTTTGTTGTTGGTTTGGTTTTTTGAGACAGGGTTTCTCTGTGTAGTCCTGGCTGTCCTGGAACTCACTCTGTAGACCAGGCTGACCTCGAACTCACAGAGATCTGCCTGCGTCTGCCTCCAGAGTGCCGGGATTAAAGGCGTGCGCCACCACTGCTGGACTTAAGTAGAAACGTTTTACTTCAACTTTCCTTATGTGAGTACTGATCTTCAAAGTTACAATGCAGAGCACATTAGCTGGACGGTGGTGGCGCACACCTTTAATCCCAGCACTCGGGAGGCAGAGGCAGGCGGATCTCTGTGAGTTCCAGGCTGGGCTGGACCGACAGCCTCCAAAACAATACAGAGAAACCTTGTCTCGTAAAACAAAAAACAAAAAAAAAAAGATTTCGTCTTTTCATCAGGAAAAGGTGCGCTGCCGACAACTCTTTTCCTTCCTCTTCGGTGTATTTAGTATTAAAGCTTTGATTCCTTGCCTTGGTCCTGGTGAAGCCCGTGGTTATATTTGCTTCCCTGTAGTGTTTCCTCTTTCAGGCACTGGCTAAACGTGTTTTATTTCCTAGAGTGTCACACTGAAAATGAAATAAAGTCCCGGGATCCAATCAGATGCAGAGAATGTGGATACAGGATAATGTACAAGAAAAGGACTAAGAGATGTATCCTTTTGATTGGAATACAAATGTAAAGAGGAAATAACTAATACTCAAGTTGATAAAGACTAAGTTCTGATAAAAGCAGTAACTTTTGGATTGTTTTAGAGAAAACTGAGAATGTGACAGCCTCCTAAGGCGGTATAACTAGATTAACTATTTTAATTAGGAATTATTTTTCACCAAACTTGGGGAGCAGAGGCAGGCTGAGCTATCTGAGTTCCAGGCAAGCTAGAGCTGGTTAATGAGATACAGTCTTAAAAAACCAAATAGAGGCTAGAGAGATGTATTAGCCGGCAGGTAAGGGCATCGACTGCTCTTCCAAAGGACCTGGGTTTTGTTTCTAGCACCAACTTAATCACTCATGACCATCTGCAACTCCAGTTCCAGGAGTCTGATCACTTTTCTGACCTCCACCTGTATAAGGGACCCAAGTGTGTGTCTATACACACACATGCAGGCAAAAGCACCCATGTGCATAAAACAAACCTAAATAAATATATTTGTAAAAATCCAAGAAATAGTTAATAGGGTTTTTAAATTTTTAAGTCAACATGATTAGCATTTTCATGTACCATTCATTATGAGCTCTAAGTAATTTTAAAAATAGTTGATTTGGGTTTATGTAAATATTTTTTTTTCAGGAATTCTTTATTAAAAGTAGTCTTTTTTTTTTCCCCCTAGACAGGGTTTCTTTGTGGCTTTGGAGGCTGTCCTGGAACTCGCTCTTGTAGACCAGGCTGGCCTCAAACTCACAGAGATCTGCCTGCCTCTGCCTTCCGAGTGCTGGGATCAAAGGCGTCATTCTTGATTGTTAGTTTATGGGCAATCTAAAGTATGGGAGGAGAAATTAATAACCTAGTGGAAAATGGCCTACAAATTAGTCCAAATACTGAAATTGTTTCAGCATAACTGACAGAGACTCTTAAAAGTCATCAAGTGTTTCAATGTTTTAAAATTATCTTTGGGTAGTGTCTTTTAAAATTTATTTATATTGTTATCTTTTGTATAATGGAGCGTGAACTCATGAAAATGGAAGTTTTGTACGTTATCTTTTTAGATAGCCTAGGGTGGCCATAGTGAAGTTCATTCTTTTGTTCATTTTATATGAAATAGCAAGCTTGGGGCAGAGGTGGAAACTTGGAAACCTCAACTATGCATAGTTTTATGTACTGTTTAAAATCCTTAACTCAGTCAACAGTGGTGGTCTTTGATGCCCGATGAAGAGTGGGAATTCAGGAGCACATTCATTTGTGCACGCGACCCTTTGATGTTTCTCTTTATAGCGTTTGGCCTAGCTTTCTCACAACTACAGCTGTATACCTATGGTTTCATTTTAGAAATGTGATTGTATCTTAATATCTTGTATAAAGGAAATTTTGGTTTAACATACGGCTTTTAACTTATTGTGCTTGTAATCGCTCACACAAGGAAAATTAAAATTGTTTCCCCAAGCCACACTTTTATTCAGTCTTGTTAAAAAAGTCAAGTTTCTGGTCATCACGTCGGTACTTTTGACACCTACCAGGCCTGGAACCCACATGGTATTGTGGGAAGAGAACTAATTTCTGAAATCCCCAACCTCCTCGTGCACACCAAGACTTAAGCGAGCGAGCGAGAGAGAGAGAGAGAGAGAGAGAGAGAGGGAGGGAGGGAGGGAGGGAGGGAGGGAGAGAGGGAGAGGGAGAGAGAGGGAGAGAGGGGGCATTGGGGGGGGAGAATTTGACACATGCTAGAGTCATCTGGGAAAAGGAAACCTCAGCTGAGAAAATGCTCACATCAGATTAGCCTGTAGGAGCATACCCACAAAGAGGAAATAAATAAAATGCATTTAAAGATTCTAAGTGTAGTTTTATAGACCCCTTTTCTAAAGGTCTGAAGAAACAAGTTCCTTGGAAACCACTGTACTCCGTTTGTTTACAACTGTAAACCGTCCAGAATACCATTGTACGTGCTGTCTGTAAACTTGTAGGAAGTCAAAAACTGTATAAAGAAATTAGAAGCAAGTAGAATAAGAGCGATGGGTGGGCCAGAGGGCTGACTCGGGAACTGAGAGCAGTTGCTGTGCCTCAGAGGCCCTGGGTAACCCATGCTGCATTATCTCCCAATCGCCCGATCAGTCCAGAGAATCTGGCGCTGCTTCCTGGGGTATCTCATACACTCCACAAAGACCCATACACACACTTCGAAATAATGTTTTTAAAAGATGGCTAAGGGTATAAAAACAGTTGTTTCCTCACATTTACAGGTACACATAGCCTCAGACCACAGAATAAATTCTGGGACTTGGCTGTCATGGAGCCTGTGTGTAATCCCAGTGCTTGGGAGGTGGAGGCAGGAGGATTCAGGAGTTCACCGTCATCTTTGACTACGTAGCTAGTTTGAGGTCTTCGTGGTTGCCGGACTGTTCCACCATCTATCTCCAGCCCTCAAGTTTTACTTTGTGTCTCACCAAGTTGGCTGGGCTTGTGGCCTGACCTTGCTGGTAAACAAGTAAATAACAGTGGCCTGTGGTGTCCAACTTTGGATCCAAATACCCGGAGCACCCCTCGTGATCAGCTGTATGCCCCTGACCAGGCCTTTCTTGAAACCTTTGTGTATTGGTTGCAGCACTTCTCTTTATGAGGGCTGGTATTTTTGCCTTCTTCAGATGGTTTTGACATTTTCCAATTCAGCACAGATCCAGAAGAAAGCACAAAATGTAGAAAGAAAACCACAGAGCCCACGGAATGACAGCCGCTCTCCAGATTGTTACACGGGCTTTGTTTCTCTGCTGCAAGTCGATGATGTGTAATTTCAGGTGGTGGCTTGAAACTCACTTTGTGGCTGGAATGGGGTGTTTTTTTTTTTTAAACGATTTATTTATTTATTTATTTATTTATTTATTTATTGGTTTTTTCCAGACAGGGTTTCTCTGTAGCTTTGGAGGCTGTCCTGGAACTAGCTCTTGTAGACCAGGCTGGTCTCGAACTCACAGAGATCCACTTGCCTCTGCCTCCCAAGTGCTGGGATTAAGCCCGCCGAGATTTTATCATGCCCACAGTGTTCTGTCTGCATGTGTGCCTGCAGGCCAGGAGAGGGTGACAGATCTCATTACAGATGGGTGCTGGGGATTGAACTCAGGACCTCTGGAAAAGCAGCCGGTGCTCCTAACCGCTGAGCCATCTCTCCAGCCTAAGGTGTGGTGTCTTTGCAATGTGAAGCTGTTTCCACAACAACTTTAGTAAAGCGGCCTAAGGCTTGAGTCTTCATCTACAAACACGCAGTGTAAATGTGAAGACATCGTTAGTTCTTTATGCCCGCGATGGTCCCGGCCAGCAGACTTGTCTGCACTTAAACACAAAGAGGAGGAGAATTTACTGAATTCTGTTCCCGGCTGGGCACACACCAGCACCAGCTGCCTCGTCAATCTCTCTTAACGAGCCTGAAACGTATTTAAAATGGAAGTAAATTTCTCCACACACGGTCTCTAGCGTCTCATTCATTGAATATATTTGTATCTCCAGAAAAACAGTGGGGTCCCTTGCTCATCGCCAGGCTCTCTGGAAAGAGGAGAGTATGCCTCCCATTTATTCTTGTTGGGAGGACAGACAGTAGGGAAATAAACCCGGGGTGCAACGCCCCCAGTCTGGGAATTCTAATCAAGGCACCACTTTGCAGTACGACAGCATGGAAGCACGTTTTACCTCACTGGAAAACACTGAAACCAGTTCCAGGATAGGCTCCAAAACAATAAAGAGAAACTCCGTCTCGAAAAACCAAAGGAAAAAAAACAAACAACTGAAACCAAAAGAGAAGGGAAACGCCCGCCCCGAGTTCTGGTCCAGGTGAGGGCAGCAGTGGGGCGGGGCCTGTGAGGCCAACCGGCGGATGGACAGCCCGGGTAGCCAATGGCCGGCGGAGGGCTGAGTCTCCGCCCCCGGGCGTGGAGCACCTGCTCCCAGACGGCGCTCGGTCGCGTCGCTCGCCCGGGACGCAGGGTGAGCATCCCGGGGCGGGGACCGCACACTCGCACGGGGCGAGAGCGTGCTGCCCGGGAACGTCCGTCCTGGTCGGGGAAGACGATTGGAACTTTGCAGGCTGACCCCCGCGGTGGTGGACGTCGGGGCCGGGACGCCGCAGTGGGGTCCCCGGGACCGCTAACTGCTTCAGCCCCGGGGAACCACAGCCCAAGGCCAAGGGGACGACTCCCGACGCGGACGCTGGCAGGTTGGCGTTAGGGCGAGCTCCAGGCGGTTTCCCCCGGGCCCGCGGTACCTGGAAACGGTTGCCATGGCCCGGGGATGCCGGTTCCCGCTTCTGCCTGCAGAGGGCGCCTCGGTGGGAGAAGCGAGGTTTTTCCGGTTACCAGGGTTACCACGAGACGCGGCTGCGGTTTGCCCAGGAGATGTTACTGAGGCGCTGATTAGGAAATAGGGGAAGCGGGCGTGGAGCAGGATAATGGAGAATAAAAATCAAATCCAGCCACAAGAGCAAGCTTTAGAGACAGGCCGCGAAGACGTACGGGGAAAACTCTAGAGAATGCATAAACCATCCTCTGGAAGTTGGGGATAACTTTGAGTAATAGGATGTGTATGTATATCGAGGCAGGGTCTCGGGGAGCTCACGGTGGCTATGCTGGTTATGTAACCGAGGATGATCTTGCACTCACGGCCCTCTCAAGAGCTGGCATTATGCCACGCCCGGCTAACACGCAGTGACCTTTTTTTTCTCTGGGTTTTTCAAGACAGGGTTTCTCAGCGTAACAGTCCTAGCTGCCCTGTAACTCGCTTTGTTAGACCAGGCTGGCCTCGAACTCACAGAGATCCGCCTACCTCTGCCTCCCGAGTGCTGGGATTAAAGGCGTGCGCCACCAACGCCCGGCTATGTTTTCTTTCTTTTTAAAAAATTCATTATGTATACAGTGTCCTGCCTGCAGACCCGAAGAGGGCACCAGATCTCATTACTGACTGTTGTGAGCCACCATGTGAGCGCTGGGGATTGAACTCAGGACCTCTGGAAGAGCTGCCAGTGCTCTTAACCTCTGAGCCATCTCTCTCCTGCCCAAAAGCTAACTTTTTTAATTGCCACAGGCTTAAGGATTCTACACAGAAAAAAAAAACTAAAACGAAAATAAGCAAAAGAAACAAAGACTTGAGGACTTTAAAAAGCCTGTGAATTCTGATGAGTGGCTTTTTTATTGCGTGGTGTGAGCTGGACTATTGCCACAGAAAATTTGTAGTATATACTGTTTGTGTTGGTTGGTTTTTTGTTTGTTCGTTTGTTCTTGTCAGCTTGACACAAGCTGGGGTCATCTCGGAAGAGGCGATTGAAATTAAGGAATTGCCCTCGTCAGACTGGCAGGTCCGTGGGATATTTTCTTGATTACTTATTGATGTTGGAGGGCCCGCCCCACCCTGGGTGGTCCTGGAAGGTATCAGAAAGGTGGCTGAACTGGAGCCGTAGGGACAAGCCAGCAGCCTCAGGTTTCCTGCAGGAGTTCCTGTCGTGACTTCCCTCGGCGATGGACTGTAAGATGAACTAAATGCTGTCCTTCCCAGGTTGCTTTTTGATGGCATTTGTCACAGAGACAGAAACTGGTTTGGGTCTTTGTTTTGTCCCCGAATTTGTTAGCGTGAAGTTTTTAAGACAGATACATTTTGCAAGTCTCAAAAGTTTTTCAAACAGTGAATGCCATTTATTTATTTACTTTGAGGCAGGGTCTCACTGTGTAGCCTTGGCTGGCCTAGAACTCTCTACGAAAGCTACGCTGGCCTAGAACTCACAGGGCTCCCACCTGCTCCCAAGTGCTGGGATTAAAGGCGTGGGCTGCCACACCTTTTAACTCTTTAGATTCTTTTTGGGGGGGGTTCGAGGTAGGGTTTCTCTGTATTATTTTGGAGGCTGTCCTGGATCTCGCTCTGTAGACCAGGCTGGCCTCGAACTCACAGAGATCCACTTGCCTCTGCCTCCGAGTGCTGGGATTAAAGGCGCGCACCACCAATGCCCGGCTAACTCTTTCGATTCTTAAGTTTGAGAGCAGCACCGAAGAGGTTTTTAAAAACTAAACTAGTATTTTATGGATGTAGCACCGAAGAGGTTTTTAAAAACTAAACTAGTATTTTATGGATGTAGGTGCTTTGCCTGCGTGCATGTCTGTGTCCCGCGCCCATCTTGTGTCCACAGAGCCCAGACGAGAGCTCCAGATCACCTGGAAGGACTTGCTGTGAGCCAGGTGCGGGTGCTGGGAATCAAACCCGGGCCTTGTGCTCTCAGCCGCTGAGCCGGCTCGCCAGCCCCACACTTAGTTCTAAAACAGATGAAGCTGTTAAAACACACGACTTCACTGCAGGAGGCTTTGTCACCTGTCTGTTAAGAGGACCCTGGTTCTCTGTCAGTGACAGCTTCATTTCATGTCAGAGGCACGGAGTTCTATTTCATCAAGAAAGTCTTCAAATTTATTATTTTTTTTTATAAAGCATAGTTTATGCACCAAAACCCTCTCTGCCATTCTGTCCCAGCGTAAGGTGAAGACTAAGATACCAGCCAGGCATTGGGGGCGCAAGCCGTTAATCCCAGCACTCGGGAGGCAGAGGCAGGCGGATCTCTGTGAGTTTGAGGCCGGCCTGGTCTACAGAGCTACACAGAGAAACCCTGTCTCGAAAAACAAAACAAAGACTCAGATAGCATGCCTGAGGAATAGGTGGACGCAGCTAAAGTTAACAATTGTTATCAGAGGGAAGGTTCAAAACAGCCTTCCTCTTAGGGGAAAAACAATCCCTCCACCCCTTTTCCTCCAAATGCACTCAGGGATTGCTCTGCTACCCAGCCTGAGCTAACTTATAATATGCACTGGGTCCCATCTGTTTTCTTATTCCATGTTTCAGCCATGGCTGCTAAGGATTGCCCATCATTGTGGAGCTTTGGAACAACAAAGACATTCAAAATCCCCGTTGAGCATTTGGATTTCCAGTATATTGAAAAATGTTCGGACATAAAACACCTGGAAAAAATTCTCTGCGTGCTGAGGTGAGCATTTAAAAAAAATAAAATAAAACTTCTCAGTTCAGCATGCCAGTGTTAATTATGCCATTGCCCTCTACTGTGAAGAGAATTTCCGGATGTTGAGGCTAGAACGTGGCTTCCAGGTTGGTTTTACACACCGTGGTTCTGGAGGGCTCTGGGCCCGTGTACTTCCCACGAGGGACAGGCTGATTTGGATCCAAGGGAGTCATCCTCATCTTGGCTCTGCCTTGTCCAAGGAGAGGTAAAGCAGCCGTAAGCACAGCTGCCGGGGAAGGCGTGACCACACAGGCGACTCACTGCTGCCTGGTCACAGGGAAAGACAGTGGGGAGGCAGGAAACAGGAAGCTACCAGAGCCCCACGGTGCTGTCAAACTGTATGCATGCATGCATCCCCGGGGTGTGTGTGTGTGTGTGTGTGTGTGTGTGTGTGTGTGTGTGTGGTTGTTAAAAATGCAGGTTTAAGGGCCTCATTCCCAGCGTCTGTACTTCAGAGAGCCTGAGGAGGAAAATGGGCTGTTAACAATGCTATGGATTGTCAAATTGGGGTGGTTCTCAGAACCTGTGTTAAGAACCACTGCCCTATGGACCCCCAACCAAACCCCGTTTGGGTTTCCTCTTCGAGATTTGACTTGGCGAGCACTTGGGGCTCGTGAGCCAGCCCCCTGGCCAGGACATGGTTTCGATGCTTAGCTCTTCACTGGTTCTTGTTTTTATTTTCTCTGACCCTCTCTGCTTCAAATAACACAGATTGATTTATTTTGATTTTGTATGCACGTCTGCATATATGTGCACCACATGTATGCCGATGCCCAAGGAGGCCAGAGAGATGCTGTCATTGGCTTTCGAGGGAAGGAAGTCTGCTTCTTGAGTGGGTTGCACAGCCCTGGAGAACAAAGAACCCAGGGGTCCCAGGGAACCCAGTTTGCAAACCAACAGCCTAGAGGACCTCTAAATAAGGCGCTAACCTAAGATTATAACCGCTCTTGAAGGTCCGGTGAAGAGGGCTATTACCCTGAACTCACAGAGTTCTGTGAGAAGCGCCTCACGGGCCTGGCCCCTGGAAGTCGAGCCCTGCGGAAGGATAAGCCTGCAGCGACCGCGTCCAGCTTCACAGCGGAGGAGTGGGAAGAAATCGACAGTGACTTAAAGGTAGAGTGAAGACCAGTTTGGGGCAGCGCGTATATGACTTAAAATTCTGGCCTTTCTGCTTGCCACTGGACGGCTTTTAGTGGTGGCCTCTTTTTGCTCTTTGTTCGTTTGTTTGTTTGGTTTTGGAGACAGGGTTTCTCTGCTTAGCTTTGGAGCCTGTCCTGGGCACTCACTCTTGTAGACCAGGCTGGCCTTGAACTCACAGAGATCCTCCTGCCCCATGGCTTGCACAGCCCGCTTTCATAGCATGTAGGACACCAGTCCTGGGGGGCCCTCCCCCATCAGCCACCAACTGAGAACATGCTCTGCAGTCTGGCCTGTAGCCCAGCTTCTGCAGACGTTTTTCTAAACTGAGGCTCCCTCCTCTCAGACAGCTCTTGCTTGGGTCAGGCTGACAGAAAACCAGCCAGAACACAGAGCACCCGTTCTTTTTGTTAACTGTGCACCAGATCTTAGCAGTATTGAGACTCCCACTCACGGACGGTGTATATTTTCCCATTCACTTAGCTCTGCGTATGAGTCCGTTTCCTACCCTCACAGGTGAAATGAGCCTGTCCCATTAAGTATAATCTTAGCTTCAGATTTGGTGGTACGTTTTTGTCAAACTAGGAAGTTCCCTTTGATCCTTGGTTGGTTTTTGTTGTTGTTTGGTTGGTTGTTTGGTTAATTTTGAGATGGGGTCTTTTTATGTAGCCTGGGCTGTCCTGGGGTTTTCCATATAGACAAGGCTGTCCTGGGACTTTCTATGTAGACCAGACTCACCCTCCTCTGCCTTCTGAGTACTGGAACTAGAGGCCTGACCCTTGTTCTATAAGAATTTTTTTCATGAGCGTGTTACAAGATTCCCCCCCACCTGGGTCCCTTTGCCACTTTAGCCCCAAAATAACGCACGAGACACTATTAATTATAAGTTGTTGGCCATTTGCTATGATTTAATTTTTTTTTTTGTTTTTTCAAGACAGGGTTTCTCTGTATTGTTTTGGAGGCTGTCCTGGAACTCTCTCTGTAGACCAGGCTGGCCTCAAACTCACAGAGATCCGCCTGCCTCTGCCTCCCGAGTGCTGGGATTAAAGGCGTGCACCACCAACGCCCGGCCTCCCCAAATATTCTTAATGAGACTTACCTACATGGTAAAAAACATAGTTAATAAAGTAAATTTGGTAATGGGCGTTTCTAGCAATTAAAAAGAAAAGGGAAGGACCTTTCAGAGAGAATGGCATAGGAAGTGGACTGAGGAAAAAGTCCTTCCTAACACATGGCCAGTGGCTTCAAACTCTACAGCTGCCTTCTGCTCTGTCCTTTTCAGAGCTGGGTATCAGAAATCAAAAGAGAGGAAAATACGAGACACTTCCATGACCCCGAAACACACCGAGGAGTGGAAGATCATCTGCCTCCAGTCCGTGGCTCAGACAACAGCCCTCAGAGCGGCAAGGTAGGCCTTTCTGGTGGGGGCGGGGTGGGGGGGGCAGTGCTGACGGGGGGCGGGGTGGTGGCTGTGGCTCACAGGGATGTAAGTGTGGATGGAGGGTTTCCCTCTCCTGGTGCACTGTGACTGAGTGTGCAGAGTTCCCTCTTTTGGTTATGCGGTCGCTCCTCTTCTCTTCTCCTCCTTTCTTCCCATCTCCATCTTTCTCTCTTCCTTTTCCTTCTCCTTTTTTTCCCTTTAGTGTGGTACCAGAGTTTCCTTGGGACCTCACTCTCGGCAAGGGCTGTACCACTAAGCTATGGCTCTACCCCTCCTCCACTCTTTATTTTGAGACAGTGTCTCCCTCAGTGTTGTAGGCTGGCCTTGAACTTGTGGCCCTCCTTCCTTATCTTCCCAAATAGCCCGGCTGCCCCCTTGTGTAAGCTAGATCTGATCATTTGGCGATGGAAATGAAGCCGTCTTTCCTGAAGGCTTACATCTTGGCATCATCATCTTTCGTCTTCTCCCTGTGCTATTCTGGCTCTCCCTTTCTGGCCAGTTTTTCAAGCGTGAAAGATATGGCCCGGTGTTCGGGACTTCCGGGGACCAATCCTGCCTATCGGGTAGAGGTGCAGAGGCTACGCCACTGTGTAAGCCGGCTGACTGTGCATGTGAGGTGCCACACAGACGGGTTAAGCACATAGAGACGTGTGTGTGTGTGTGTGTGTGTGTGTGTGTGTGTGTGTGTGTGGTATCCACTCCTTAGTGTATGCGCTTCTCTGGTTTTCATTCTTTTGCGGTTGCTCCATGTTTGGGCTTGCAAATCGCCCCCTTTAAGTCCAGGCTCTCCCAAAGACAGGTCTATTGGAGTTGCAAGTCCCAATCACCTTGCTGTTTCTGGCAGAGTGACTACTCAAGGCTTTCCCTTCTGTGTTCTTGTTAGCCTTATATTTTGTTGTTGTTGTTAACTTACATTTGTTTATTATTTTGTTTTGTTTTTTGAATAGGGTCTTCCTATGTAGCTCTGACCAACCTGGGACTTACTATGTAGACCAGGCTGTTCTCAAATTCACAGGAATTCGCCTGCCTCTGCCTCCCAAGTGCTGGGACTAAAGGTGTGTACCGTCATGCCTGGCTATTTCTCTTTTATTTTGTGTACACATACACACACACACACACACACACACACACACACACACACGTGCGCGCGCGCACGCGCAGACATGCACATACACACACACACACCTGTCTAATTTGAGGTTGATTTTTTAAGAATATTTTTATATGTATTTGTTTTGTACGTGTTTTGCCTTTATGTACATGTGCACACCGTGTGTGTGTGTGTGTGTGTGTGTGTGTGTGTGTGTGTGTGTGTGTGTGTGGTGTTTTGTGAGCCACCATGCAGGTGCTGGGAACCGAACCCTGGTCTGGTTGGTGCGTTCCCCGGGCAGCGTTGTGCGATGGATGTGCCGAGGGGGACGAAGACCCCCAGTCTGATGGCTGTTGTGGTTCCCTCCTGCTCCCCACCGTCAGCAATGGATCTGCCCCCTACTTTGGGTGGCTTTACCCCTGGCCAGCTCCCTGGAGCCCGTCCCTGCAGTTTCTCTAAGGAGGGAGGAGAGGAGAGCCGACCTGTTGTTCCTTCTGGTGAGGCCTCGGTGGTTGTGCTCCCTGTCTCCAGACAGCCCATGGCCCTCAGCAAGATGAACTCAGCAGGCAGGGAGGAGAGCGAAGGCTGAGGACAGACAGGGGAAGCCCTTAGCTGCAGCACCGTCCCCTCATCTGTTTGGCTACGACCTGTTTGGTTTTGTTTGGTTGTTTGGTTGATTGGCTGGTGGTTTTTTTGTTCTGTAGAATTAGTTCATAATGGGCGTCTGTCACGACAAAAGGGCTCAGACACAGGGAAATCGTTATATTCTCCAAACGCCTTGGCTCTGAAAGAATGAATTCCATTCTTTTAAGAAAACCATTAATTAATGTTCACACGCAAGTTTCAAATATGTATGTATGTCCTTAAAAATCTGTGAGACAGTGCCCAGGATTAACTACAGGTTAATTTGAAATCTTTTACCACAGCCTTTTATTATATCAGGATTACATCAGGATACTGGAGTTGCTTTACACTCAGGGGAACCTTTTTATTTTTTGATCTATTCCATTTATGTATCTTACTCCCGTGGTTCACAGTGCATTTATAATAAGTCCTGGCAATCTTAGACTGACTGTGTCATGATTTTGTTCTTTCAGGGAACCTATCCTAAAAGCAAGCCAGCTAAGAAGAAAGTCCCACGGGATTATGCCGAGTGGGATAAGTATGTTTCATATTTCTTCACTTAAAACTTGTCTCTGAAAATTTGTCTACCATTAGATTCTACACTTTAAAATATTATAGACACTTCCTGCCCTTTCTTGTTTCTTTTGAGACAGGGTCTCACTGTGTGACCCAGGCTGGCCTCAAACTCAGTGTCCCCCTGCCTCAGACTCCCAGTTTCGATAATTACAAGCATGCACAACCACACCTGGATAGTCTAAACGCCTTTCATTTTTTTATTAATAATACCTTTTTTTAAATATCATTTTGTTTATAAAACCAACCACAAAACAGGTTAGATTTAAGTTTGGTTGTGAGTTTTGCTGTTGTTTTTTTCTTTTTCTTTTCTTTTCCTTTTTTTTTTTTTTTTTTTTTTTGTGACAGGGTCTCTCTGTGCAGCCCTGGCTGTCCTGTAACTCGCTCTGTAGCTGTGTACTCACGGAGATCCACCTGCCTCTGCCTCCTGATTACTGAGATTAAAAGTGCACACCCACCACTGCTCTGCAAAACAGGTTAGATTTAAAAACATTTTTTTAATATGGCTCATACCATGTAACTCTAGCTGACCTTGAACTCACAGAGATCCGCCTGCCTCTGCCTCCCAGCACTGGGATCATGAGTGGGTGCCACCGTGTCAGGCAATTGCTTATTTTAAGAAGGGATGCAGGGACTCGAGGAGCAAACCTGTGAGGAGTGCCTTGAATAAGAGTAAGGACACAGTACAGGTTGAACGTTGGTAACACAAAAATCCAAAGTCCAAATGTTCCCGAATCTGAAACTCTTAGCACCGCCAGTGGGTAATTTTACACCATGAAACTTCTGTTTCATTCATAGAATTATTTAAAGTATTATACGAAACTGTGTGTAGGTTACATGTATGTGAAGCAGGCATGAATGTTGTGTTTTAACTTGTGGCTTTCCCAAAGATGTCATTTGGTAGATGCAAATATTTGCTGGCATTAGAAAAAAAAATCTTAACCAGGCAGTGGTGGCACATGGCTTTAACCCCAGCTCTCAGGAGGAAGAGGCAGGCGGATCTCTGTGAGTTAAATGCCAGCCTGGTCTACAGAGTGAGTTCCAGGACAGTCGGGGCTACACAGAGAAACCCTGTCTTAGAAAAACAAAAACAACTCCCCCTACACACAAACAAACAGAAAAACAAAACAAAACCGCCAACTCACAACTCCAACACGGTCTCTCACAAGCATTTCATCTTCAGATACACTAATGAGTTTTGTTTCTTATAACATGCTTTTCATTTTTCCCCCATTTTCGTTGTTCTTTCAGATTTGATGTGGAAAAGGAATGTTCGAAAATTGATGAAGACTGCAAAGAAAAGACAATGGTAAACAACAAGGCTCATTTGTCTAAAATTGAGACAAAAATAGACACAGCAGGTAATAAGAGAATATGGGAACAATTAGCCATTTTCCAACCTTTTAATTACGATAAAACCTTGACAGCCTAGGAAACATTGTCTTTGAGCACTGTTGATTTCTATTAAAGTTTGTAGATTTTTGGCCAGGCTTGACTACTCCCAACAAATTTATTTCTGTCTTTAGTTACTCAATTTTGTTTGAGACAGGGCCTCATGTAGCCCAGGTTGGCCTTGAACCCCACAGGTAGCTACTGACGACCTTGGCATTCTGCTTGCCTCCCTTATAGCCAAGTTTGCACATAAACCCATTTTTTCTTAGGATATTCATTTGTTTTCTATTTCCTATTTTCAATCCCCTTCCTATGGCATCTAACAAAAGAAGTAAGACAGTTTTTCACCAGAAGCCCACACATAAACTTTAAAGCAGAGTCAGTCATAAAAACACTAACCCCTCAAAAAACTAGGGGGTGATTAGAAAAGAAATAGCCCTGCACCCAGGAAAATGTTTTGTTTTGTTTAATCTACGGCTTTCCGCTCCAGTTAGAATAAGTATTCTCGGGGTGTGGGAATGTCACTCCATGTTAGAGTGCCTGTTGGACATGCCTGAGGCCCCAGGTTCTGTCACCAGGGCTGCCCGAAGACAGAGTCATGCGTTTAAGCTTTTAGAGAAACTGCCTTCGGGTGTTGTCACGTGTGTTTATTTCTAGGTCTAACTGAGAAGGAGAGGAGCTATCTGGCCGATCGTGAAAGGGGGAAAGGAAATGAGGCTTTCCACGCAGGGGACTATGAAGAGGCCGTGATGTATTACACCAGGCAAGTCAGTTTTCTTCTTGCTGAGGCCGGGGTGGTGGCTCAGTGGCTAAGAGCACTGGCTGTTCCTCCAGAGGACCCGGGTTCAATTCCCAGCACCCACATGGCTGCTAGCAACCTGTTGTAACTTCAGTTCCAGAGGACCTCACGTGTAATGAGATGGTTTACTCTTGGCTTTTTGAGGAGCCCTCCATCCAGCTCCCAAACCACACCCAGAGTCTTACTGTTACCTATGAGTGCCTAGCCTTAGCTTGGCTTGTTTCTTGCCAGCTGGTTTTTTGTTGTTGTTGTTTTTCAACACAGGGTTATCTGTGGCTTTGGAGGCTGCCCTGGAACTCGCTCTGTAGACCAGGCTGGCCTCGAACTCACAGAGTTCCGCCTGCCTCTGCCTCCCGAGTGCTGGGTTTAAAGGTGTGCGCCACCAACACCCAGCTTTAGAAGTATTTTTTAACTTAAATTAAGTTGTCTACCTTTTGCCTCTGGGCTTTTATCTTTCTTCTGTATATTTTACTCTCCTTCTGACTCCATGGCTGGGCGGCTGGGCGGCTGGGCGGCTGGCCCCTGGTCCCTGAAGTTCTCCTCTCCTTGTTCTCTTGCTCCTCTCCTCCTCATTTCTCCTATTTATCCTCTCTGACTGCCAGCCCTGCCTGTCCCTCTCTCCGGTCTCGCTATTGTCGGTCAGCTCTTTATTAGACCATCAGGTGTTTTAGGCAGGCAAAGAGCCACAGCTTCACAGAGTAAAACAAATGCAACATAAACAAAAGTAACACTCCTTAAAGTCATATTCCCCAACAATTCCCACTTTTTTCTAAACAACAAAGTTTTAACTTTAACGTAGTAAGACTTTATGTAATAAGAACAACTACCAAATACTCCATAATCTATCGAAATTTTATACCTATCATATCTAAGAAACACTGCAACTGTTACTGTCTAAGGCATCTGACCGCCTGGACAGGAGCACATGTGGTCATAGACATATATGCAGCCAAAACAACCATACATGTAAAATTAAAGTGATGTTTTAGTTATTGAAACCACATAAATAAACTGAATAGCCTGTGTTGGAATCACTTGCGACTCAAAAGGTCTCCTCCATGGATGTTTGAGGGCTTGGCCCATGCTTTGACTTTTTAGCGGTGTCTTCCCTGACTTCCCAGCCAGGTTAGGCGTCTACTCCGTAACACGGCACGCTGTCCCCTGGTTAGCCAACTCAGGTGTCAGCTGACACAGCCCTCCGTAGCTCTTCTCAAAGGCACAGTTCAAATGGGTGTGGTCTGACAGCGAAGGCACCGTAAGCTCCCAGGGCAGAGCCCGCTTGCGCCCTCGTGTTATACCATTGTCTCCTCATTGCCCGGTGGAGGGCTTGGCTCATAGCAGGTTTTCAGTAGAGACCAATGGAAGGATTGCCCGTGGATTGTTCATTCAGTACAGCCGTCCTCATTCAATCAGGTGGACATCAGCCCTGCTGCTCATATCCATCCTCCTGCCCCCCCCCACCACTCCTTTTTCTGATAGTCTTAGGAGCCCAGGTTGGCCTTGAGCTTCTGATCCTCCCTCTTCCTCGTTTCAGGTGCCGGGGTTTCAGGCACACCCACCATGTCACTCAGCTTTTGTTTCCTTGCTGTGGGTTTTCACTAGTGCAGAGTCTCCCGTCCGTCACAGGGCGTGACGTATGTCTCCTTCCTTTGATGCGGGGGTCAGCTAGTTGAAGAATTGAGGCACTAGAGTGGCCAGAGAACCGAGGTCTGCGGCCTTCGGGCCTGGGGCAGATGCCTTACCTCTCTTGCCTTGATGCCCTCGAGGTGTTAAAGCCCCAAGGCTGGCTGCCGTCTCAGAGGCTCTGTGAGGACTAGGCGGTCCCTGGAGACAAGACAGCAAGCCGACTGCCTAGGCGTGAGTCTTGTCTGATATTTACTGCTGTGGCTACTGGCACACCTTAGATTTTCCAGTGCACATATTATCTCGTCTTCCAGCGGCAGAGCAGTAATGCCCCCCTGTGAAGTGGCCCCTCGGTCACGACGATGGCATGAACTACTCAGGCCTGCCGCAGGTGTACCGGCTAGTGTTACGTCGGCTTGGGACAAGCTAGAGTCATCTGTGAGGAGGGAACTCTATGTCAGGAATTTCACTGACAGCGGTTACATTATTTAGCTAGGACTGCCATCCCCAAATACCACAGACCTAGTGGCCTGAACAGGATGTTTATCTAACACTTCTGAAGGCTAGAAGTCCAAACTCAAGGTGAAGACAAGAATGGTTTCTTCAGAGGCCTCTGTCCTAGGCTGACAGGTGTCTGTCTTCTCCTATCTGCTCACATGGCGTGCCTGTCTCTCTATCTGGTTCCAATCTCTTCTTTTTATAAGGGCATCAGTTTTGTTAAATAGAGTCCACACTAAGGGCCTCATATTAACTGTGTGTGCGTGTGTGTGTGTGTGTGTGTGTGTGTGTGTGTGTGTGTGTGTATGTATGTGGTTTTTCCAGACAGGGCTTCCCTGTGTAACTTTGGAGCCTGTCCTGGAACTTGCTCTTGTAAACCAGGCTGGTCTCAAACTCACAGAGATCCTCCTGCCTCTGCCTCCCGAGTGCTGGGATTGAAGGTGTGTGCCACCACCGCCCGGCTAACTTAATTATCTTAAACAAAAAAAAATGTTTTATGGTGGCGGTTGTGGTAATGCGTAGCATTATTTGTAGCCTTGACAGAATCTAGAATCATGGGGCTGGGTCCCTGGACCTGCCTGTGTGGGATCATTATCTCGATTGGGTTGGGTTGGGTCGGCACTGTGGGCAGTGCCATTCCCTGCCAAGGACCCTGGACTGCACAGACTGAGAAGGGTGCTCTGCAGGAGGACACATTCACCTCCCTCTCGCTCCCTGCTTGTGCAGAGGGTGGTTTGCCCACCACGGTGGACTGTATTTGAACCATGAGCCAAACCAGCCATTCTGGGTTAAGTTGTCCTGTTGTGTCTATCACAGTGGCAGGGAAAGGAGCCAAGGCAGTGGTGCCGGGGACTGAACCAAGGCCAGCACTGAAGCTAGATCCTTGGCTTAATGACTTCTCTGAAGCCTACATCCAAATACACCCCTATCCCGCCCGAGACATCCCGGCTTAGGATCCCAACATACAAACTTTTAAGGGGCACAGTTCAGCCCTTAGACAGTCTATGTTTATTTTAGATATAGTTTGTACCAGTTACTTTTGCATAGCTGTGATCTAAATACCTGGGAACAACAGCTTCAGGAAAGGAAGACTTCCTTTTGGCTCCCGAGGGTCGAACCCGTGGTTGGCGGTTTGGCTGGCTCTGAAGTGAGGATGGACATCTTGGTGGTGGGAATAAGCTATGTACTTCATGGTGGACACGGGAAGGGGGCGGGGATGGGGACGTCCATGCACTGGGGGCAGAGAGAGAAGCCCAGGGACACAGTCCCAGTAATCTGCTCTTCCGCTAGGCCTGGCCTCCTGATGCTTCCAGAGCCTCTCACCAGCCTGCGGGGAAGGGACACTTCCTACACTAACCACAGCGTGACTGCGGCCGAGTCTCTCTGCCTGTGGCCTCCCTATAGCCCGTCCGTTTCTCTCATAGGAGCTTATCAGCCCTTCCCACCGTGTCTGCCTATAACAACCGAGCACAAGCGGAAATCAAATCACAGCGATGGGACAGCGCTCTCCAAGACTGCGAGAAGGCCTTGGAGCTGGAGCCTGGAAACATAAAAGGTAGCTGGACAGTGAGTGAGTCTCCTGCTGGTCACTGAGTCTCCTGCTGGTCACTGAGTCTCCTGCTGGTCACTGAGTCTCCTGCTGGACACTGAGTGAGTCTCCTGCTGGTCACTGAGTCTCCTGCTGGTCACTGAGTCTCCTGCTGGTCACTGAGTCTCCTGCTGGACACTGAGTGAGTCTCCTGCTGGTCACTGAGTCTCCTGCTGGACACTGAGTGAGTCTCCTGCTGGTCACTGAGTCTCCTGCTGGTCACTGAGTCTCCTGCTGGTCACTGAGTCTCCTGCTGGTCACTGAGTCTCCTGCTGGTCACTGAGTGAGTCTCCTGCTGGTCACTGAGTCTCCTGCTGGACACTGAGTCTCCTGCTGGTCACTGAGTCTCCGGCTGGTCACTGAGTGAGTCTCCTGCTGGTCACTGAGTGAGTCTCCTGCTGGTCACTGAGTCTCCTGCTGGTCACTGAGTCTCCTGCTGGTCACTGAGTCTCCTGCTGGTCACTGAGTCTCCTGCTGGTCACTGAGTCTCCTGCTGGTCACTGAGTCTCCTGCTGGACACTGAGTGAGTCTCCTGCTGGACACTGAGTGAGTCTCCTGCTGGACACTGAGTCTCCTGCTGGTCACTGAGTGAGTCTCCTGCTGGTCACTGAGTCTCCTGCTGGTCACTGAGTCTCCTGCTGGACACTGAGTGAGTCTCCTGCTGGTCACTGAGTCTCCTGCTGGTCACTGAGTCTCCTGCTGGTCACTGAGTCTCCTGCTGGTCACTGAGTGAGTCTCCTGCTGGTCACTGAGTGAGTCTCCTGCCTCACCGTTCATAGTGTCAGATTCCTAGTGTGAACCACTACCTCAGGAACACTACTTTTAATAAGTCCGACTCGGAATTTTGGTCCTTCGTTCTTTGAATTGTGGAAGCCAATCAAGAGATGGTGAAATGTTCACGGCCGAGGAAGCTCCCTGGAGGATTATGGGAAATCTATGGTAGCTTACAACTCTCTGACAACTCAAATCATTCTAGAATTAAAAATTGCAAAAAATAAGGCTGGGCGTTGGTGGCGCACGCCTTTAATCCCAGCACTCGGGAGGCAGAGGCAGAAGGATCTCTGTGAGTTCGAGGCCAGCCTGGTCTAGTGAGTGAGTTCCAGGACAGACTCCAAAACAATACAGAGAAACCCTGTCTGGAAAAACCAAAAAAGAAAAAGAAAAAAAATTACAGAAATAATTTCCTATCATGAGTATCTCTTCATGGGAATTTAGAGACCTGAATAACAATGGCAATACACAATAATGAAGTTTGGTTAAATAATTTATCCTTTAGGTTTTCATGGCTCACTCTAGGCTAAAACTAAGTTATTGAATGAGAGAACTTCTCTTGATTTCTAATTGTGTGCTATGATGGCATATTAAAATTCATCTAGTATGCTACTTCTCACATTTCAGAATTATAAAGCCTGATTTTTTTTTCTCAAGTGTTCAAATACTGATGCCCTTGGGGGATGTTTCTCATCCAAATCCCCACACAGTTCACGCTTCAGGAGACTCCCTAAGCCCACACACATCCACACAGTACTGAGTGGACTCAGGTTTTGTTCGTTTTAAGAAGAGCTCATGAAATTGGAAGCGAGAAGTTGCGGGGGAGGATGGGGAAAGAACGGAGGGTGGGTTTGACCACAGCGTGATTTGCACGAGTGAAAGTGTCACGGAATCCAAGAAGCCGGGGTGGACACCCCATGCAGGCCCCTCCCCGTACAGCCGGGTCACGTTCTATATGCTCTACAACGCGGACCCGGGCTCTGCCCGCTGGTGTCCTTGCAAACCGCGTTGAAGCCCTCACGCTGCACACACGTTAAACTGCGGAGCGTTTGTGTTGCCTTTTCAGCTCTCCTGAGACGTGCCACTGTGTACAAACACCAAAACAAGCTCCAGGAGGCCGCGGAAGACCTGAAAGAGGTGCTGGGCCTGGAGCCTCATAATGATTTGGCCAGGGTAAGCAGAGAAAATGATTTCTTAACGTCGAGTCCTGTAACTTTCTGTTTCTGATTTTATTTATTTATTTTTTTTGGGGGGGGAGTTTAAGACAGGGTTCCGCCATGTAGCCCCTGCTAGACTGGAACAAGCTAGGGAGACCAGACTGGCAGTGAATTCAGAGAGATCTGTGGTGATATTTTGTTTATGATCTAACAAATAAAGCTTGCCTGGAGAGGAGAGTGCTAAGCCAGCCACACCAGTTAGCCATACAGGTCAGGCGGTGGTGGCGCCCACCGTTAATCCCAGCCCTCGGGAGGCAGAGGCAGAGGGATCTCTGTGAGTTCAAGGCCTCCCTGGGCTACATGAAATTGATCTGGTCTAGAAGAGAAACAGAGCTCACACAAAGGTGATCCCAGCACTTGGAGTGACACGCCTTTAATCCCAGCACTAAGGAGGTGGAGACAGGTAGGTGGGCAGAGAGGACTATAAGCGGGGGAGGAGACGGGAGAGAGATGAGTCTGAGGAGCAGCACAGTCTAATGATGCAGTCTGAGGACAGGACCGCCCCTTTGGTCTGAGCATTGGTAGAGGTGAGAGCTCTCTAGGTGGCTGGAAGCTTTGCTTCTCTGAGCTCCCCCGACCCCTAATATCTGACTCCGGGCTTTTATTATTAAGAGCAATTAGAATTCGTGCTACAAAGATCCACCTGCCTCTGCCTCCCAAGTGCTGGTGATTAAGGGTGTGTATGTATTTGTACCACCACACCTAGCTGTTTCTGAATGTGTGTTAAAGTGGTGTCCGTCTGGCTGAGTCACGTTGAGAATGAGTCAGCAGCTAAACAAAGTGTTGACATGGAAGAGAGCAAACTGTTGAGGAGAGCTTGTGTGGGGACCAGGGGTAGCTCGGTGAAAGTCACCTAGCTGGCCCAGGATGCTGGTTCCGGCTCCCAGTACAGTCGCTTGTCCCCATGGCCACCAAACAGCAACTTAACAAGAAATAAGGAGTTAAGCAGACGTTTGAAGCTATCACTGAATAACAAGCCCTTTTTTCTATACTGATGGGGTCAGTGCCTTTTCTCTGAGATAATCTCAATGAGTTACTAGACAGGGCTATGAGGGAGCACCAAGGCCACAGAGGGTGTTGTTAGCAGCTCAGTGCTGCAGTTCTGAACTGAGGCCTTAAGAGTAGCTGTCAGGCACCAGGAAAGAAACGGAATGTCAGCAGCTTTAGTGGTACACATAAGCATCTGTCTTCATTGCTGCTCTATTGCTGTGAAGACACACCATGACCAAGGCAACTTACAAAAGAAAACATTTAGCTGAAGGCTGGCTTACGGTTTCAGAGGGGAGTCCGTGACCACCATGGCGGAGAACGAGGCAGCAGGCAGGCAGGGCGCTGGGGCAACAGCTGGGCACTTACATCTTTGTTTTCTGTCTTTTGTTTGTTTTTTGAAGACAAGGTTTCTCTGTGTAGCACTGGCTGTCCCATAACTCTCTCTGTAGACCAGGCTGGGCTCAAACTTAGAGATCTGCCCATCTCTGCCTCCCAAGTGCTGGGTGTGCTCATGTGCTCAGAGAGAGAGAGAGAGAGAGAGAGAGAGAGAGAGAGAGAGAGAGAGAGAGAGAGAGAGAGAGAGAGAGAGAGAGAGAGCTTACATGTTATCCACAATCAGCAGACAGGGAGATAGAATCCTCAAAGCCCACCCCCAGTGACACACCTCCTCCTGATCCTTCCCAAAACAGATCCATCAAACAGGGGCCAAGCCTTCAAATATGAGCCCGTGGGGGTCACTCTCATTCCAACCGCCACCACCGTGTCTTAGGTCAGACAGGAGGGTTTTTACTCACAGTCAGCATGTTCCCCTTGTTCCCAAGCCCCACAGGGATTTTACAGAGTAACCTATATGAGTGCTGTGTGCTCAGTAGACTTGCATGGTGACTGAGGAATTCAAATTTTAGGACACCACCCCCCTCTACACTCATGTGCGTGCACACGCACCCACGTATGCGTGCATGAAGGAACACCAGGCAGAGTACAACAGCCTATGACTCCAGCCACAAGGAATCACACCCGCTTCTGACCTCTGCAGACACCAGCATGCATGTGGCGTACTCTCTCACAAGCACCAAATAAAATGATTTTAAAGTATTTAGTGGGGAGGGACCATGCAAATGTTTTTCTTTTTGATGGCATAAAGTATCTCGGAACTTATAACACTGTCCTTCACAGTCCTTATGGGTGCTTCATCTATAAAGTGTCCATCTCTGTGAATGTGCACACATCCTCTGTGAGTGTGCACACATCCTCTGTGAGTGTGCATGCATCTCTGAGAGTGCACACATCTCTGTGAGTGTGCATGCATCTCTGAGTATACACACATCTCTGAGTGTGCACACATCTCTGAGTATGCATGCATCTCTGTGAGTGTGCACGCATCTCTCTGAGTATATATACATCTCTGAGTGTGCACACATCCTCTGTGAGTGTGCATGCATCTCTGAGTATATATACATCTCTGAGTGTGCACACATCCTCTGTGAGTGTGCATGCATCTCAGAGTGCACACATCTCTGTGAGTGTGCATGCATCTCTGAGTATACATGCATCTCTGTGAGTGTGCACGCATCTCTCTGAGTGTATACACATCTCTGAGAGTGCACACATCTGAGCATACATGCATCTCTGTGAGTGTACACACATCTCTGTGAGTGTGCACGCATCTCTGAGAGTGCACACATCTCTGTGAGTGTGCACACATCTCTGTGAGTATATACACTTCTCTGAGTGTGCACACATCTCTGTGAGTATATACACATCTCCGAGTGTGCACACATCTGAGTATACATGCATCTCTGAGTGTACACACATCTCTGTGAGTGTGCACGCATCTCTGAGAGTGCACACATCTCTGTGAGTGTGCACACATCTCTGTGAGTATATACACTTCTCTGAGTGTGCACACATCTCTGTGAGTATATACACTTCTCTGAGTGTGCACACATCTCTTGAGTATACATGCATCTCTCTGAGTGTACACACATCTGAGTATACATGCATCTCTGAGAGTGCACACATCTCTGTGAGTGTGCACACATCTCTGTGAGTATATACACTTCTCTGAGTGTGCACACATCTCTTGAGTATACATGCATCTCTGTGAGTGTGCACGCATCTCTGTGAGTATATATACATCTCTGAGTGTACACACATCTGAGTATACATGCATCTCTGTGAGTGTGCACACATCTCTGTGAGTATATACACTTCTCTAAGTGTGCACACATCTCTGTGAATGTGCACACATCTCTGTGAGTATATACACTTCTCTGAGTGTGCACACATCTCTTGAGTATACATGCATCTCTGTGAGTGTGCACGCATCTCTGTGAGTATATATACATCTCTGAGTGTACACACATCTGAGTATACATGCATCTCTGTGAGTGTGCACACATCTCTGTGAGTATATACACTTCTCTAAGTGTGCACACATCTCTGTGAATGTGCACAAAGAAACATCTGGAAGCTCATCAAAATGTTAGTGTTGTCAAGTGAGTGGGAGGAGTCCATTTGTTTTCTTTCTTTTTAATGTATTTTATGTGTGTTGGGTGTTTTACATCATGGCTGTGCACTGCCTGCTTAATGCCTGAGGAGCCATAAGAGGGCGCCAGAGCTCCAAGAGCTGCAGTTCCAGGTGGTCGAGAGCCGACATGTGGGTGCTGGGAATTGAACCCAGGTCGTCTGCATGAGCTGTCAGCGCTCTTAACTGATGAGCCGTCTCCAGCCCCACGTTTTTTGTATTTGCTGTTATTTTATTTTGTTATTCACTGCTCACTTATTTGTTTGCCTGTTTTACGGTGGGCAGAGGTCATTTTAACCAGATAAAGCAATGAAATTGTTGTAAAAAGGAAACTAGATGAGTTTTAAAGTCTTCTGTTTTCTCATTTTTAAAGTAGCTTCATATTCTTGCCAAAAAGAATGATTGTGAGGTGTTGTAGAATACTATTTTAAGGTGTGTTACTTTTGTTTGTTTATGCTCTGGAATATTTGTTTAATGATGCAAAGATGTGTTTGACTAAATAAAGTTCACCTGTGATCAGGAGGCTGGGTCAGCAACCAGCTGACAGGAAGTTGTAGGAAGGAGCCAGGTGGAGAAGGGTTCATAACGAGGGGTGAGACCTGGCACAAGGACTTCCTGTGAGCCCGAAGAGGGGAGCTAGGCGAGCTGCTTGTTATTCAGCCTCTCTGGGGAGCAGGATTCTACCTCAGCCTTTGAATCTTGAATTCTGTAGCTGGACGGAGATCTAAATAAGTTTCTCTAGTAGCTTTGAAAGATTCGGTGCCTGAGGGAATAGGCTTCAGCTTTGGTGGCCTAGCCACTGATGGTAGTTGCCAAATAGGATAGCCATAGCTTAAAAGGCAGCAGTAATTTAACAAAACAAAACAAAAAACCAACAGCAACAGAATCACTAACCTGGGCTCACAGAGACTGACCCGACAACCAGGGAGCCTGCATGGGACTGACCGAGGCCCTCTGCATGTGCGTGACAGTTGTGTGGCTTGGTCTCCTCATGGGCCTCCCAACAGTGGCAGCAGAGGCTGTCTCTGAAGAAAAAAACAATTACGTTGCAGAAAACCCTGTCAGATGTTGAAAGCGAGCTGAAGAAATCAGAACCAGCCTCGGAGCCCCACAGCAAAGGGACAAGGATGGTGATTGAGGAAGTGGAGAACTCGGGAGATGAAGGTGAAAAGAGAAACGGAGACCAACCTGAAGACGGCGGCGGCGGCGACACGGGTGAGGCGCCTTCCCTTTCCGGTAATGCCAGCTGCTGTGCCCATCTCCAGGCTGCTACAGAAATTGCTGGTTTGTCAAACTTTGCTCTAGCTTTACCTTAACGTCTACAGCCAAGCTCCGTCCTGCTTTTCTCTTTAAGTTTATTTTTACATTCACGGGTTTTGTGTGCTGGGTAGGGGCACATGTGGCATGCGTGTGGAGGACAGGACAGCCGGGCGTGACTCCTGGGATTGGCCTCAGGGTGCCAGACTTGTACCAGGCACCCTGACCAGCTGAGCCGTCCTCCTGGCCCGTCTTCTTTTCGGGAGGGGGAGCGGGGAGTTGTCTTTTACGAGACAGGGTTTCTCTGTGTAGCCTTGGCTGTCCTGGAACTCGCTCTGTAGACCAGGCTGGCTTTAAACTCAGAGAGATCTGCCTGCCTCTGCCTCTTGAGTGCTGGGATTAAAGGTGTGAGACACCAACGCCTGGCTCAACATGAATATTTATACGAAGATATCGGTAGGTTCTCCCCTGGAGCCTATGAGTTCATAGTCATGGATTTTCACCCTGTTTATCATGCACATGTTCCCTGCTGCGGAGCAGACCCCAAACCTCATCAGCAGAAGGGTTGGTGACCCCATAAGTAGCCTTGCCACTGTAGTACCAGGGAGCACAGCTGCTCTGCAGGAGTGCCAGGGAGCACAACTGCTCTGCAGGAGTACCAGGGAGCACAGCTGCTCTGCAGGAGTATCAGGGAGCACAGCTGCTCTGCAGGAGTGCCAGGGAGCACAGCTGCTCTGCAGGAGGAGTGCCAGGGAGCACAGCTGCTCTGCAGGAGGAGTGCCAGGGAGCACAGCTGCTCTGCAGGCTGGCGTTCTAGCATGCAGGACCCAGCACGGGGTGAGGCCATTGTCTTTTCTCCTCTGTCAGCCCGCCTGGCACCTTCCAGCACTGTGGAGGCTAGCCTTCGGGGAAGACTCCCTGATCAAGATCTGCAGCGAGCGTGTTTGCTGTCCTTGGCAACAGGGTCTCCCCATCTCGTTGTGGTGGACCCCAACAGCGATGGCAATCGCCTGCATCCTCTAGGCCGCCTTTGGGGCCTCTGTGATGGATAAGTCACTCATGAGGAAGTAGCCTGTCAGACTGAGGTTCCACATAAGGCACAACATTAACTTCACAGGTGACAGAGGCTGCGATTAGACCCCTGGTTTGCTCCTCCCGACCTTCTTTGTGGATCTTGTACTAAAGAATGCCGGCCGGTTGGTCGGAGTCCCTGGGCTTCCGCTCAGAACTTGCCCATCTATTGGTATTTCTGCTTCTGTAGTGGGATAGATCGTTAGAAACGGCTGTTACGACACGACCGGCTGTCGGGCTCCCGTGCTGTCTCTTCACAGTCAGGGAAAGTGGGCACCCAGCCTGGCATGGTGACTTTTGTCTGTGGTCCCAGCAGCTGGGCGGTGGAGGGAGGTGACGCAGAAGCTCCAGGTCTCCTTCGTCTGCAGCTTGGCCTCCAAGAGCCCAGTCTCAAAGCCCAAACGAGGGGGCGGGCACCTAGCTTCTTCAGTGCTCTTTGTGTTTCGTACAAATGCACACACACACAGTGTAGCTTTTTGTTCTTTTTACTTTCGAAACAGGGTCTTGCTGTGTAGACCAGGCTGGCCTGGAACTTGAGACCTCCTACCCCTGCCTTCTGAGTGCTGGGATGTTAGGCATGTACCGCTGTGCCTGGCTCAAGATTGATGTTCTGCTGTGGAACGACCCTTTTGTTCTTCTTTTTAAAATGTCTTCATGTCTACAAGTGTCTTGTTTGCACGCATGTAGCGCAGGCGTACTCTCAGGGGTGTCAGATCCCCATGGACGTGGAGCTGTGGGTGGCTGTGAGCTGCATTGGGTGCTGGGAACTGAACTCTGCAAGAGCGGCCACCGCTCTAACCCACTGAGCCATCTCTCCGGCCCCTTTAGTGTGTCGTTCAACCAGACCCATTAGTGTTTTGTTAAGATTTTCTTGGGTCGCTATACATCCGAGGGCCGACTGCTAGCCATTCCTCTTGTCGTCTGGGTTATTGCCGGCCCCTGTTGTCCTGCACCCTCTTGGTTTCTGAGGCAGGCCACGTGCCTGCTTCTGTCACCTTAGACTCTTCCGTCTCCACAAGAGACGTCCTAGGCGTCTCCTTTAGGTAGATTCTCAGTATACGCCTTGATCCTTTCTGTGCCTGTTTATGACTCTGCCTCCAACAGTCCACCAGCATGGTCCTGGCACTAATGGAGTTCCCTGCAGGACTCACAGGCCCCTGTGCGTGCCTTTGCGGAGACGCGGAACGTTACTCAGGCATCTCAAATGCCCAGCGGGCTAGCCTCTCCCTCTGTAACTGAGTGGATTCCTGTGTCTCTCGCCTTCTCTTGTAAAGTGAGGATTAATAAGATACATGTTAAGGTCTTGACCCCTGTGAGCCATTGGTGGTCATTTCAGTCAGACAGGAGGGGACGACACACAGAGGGACGGAATTATGCTGAATCCCCCTGTCTCTGCTGGCAAGGCTCCCCTCGTCGGCCTCCCCTGGGGACAGCAGACAGTCCCGGCTCACAGAGAAGACTTCCTAGAGCTGTCAGTGCAAGGCAGAAGTTGAGTTCATGAAGAAAAGGTTTTAATATAGATGTAAGCACCGGAATCGGGAAGGCAAAGAGGGAGGGGGAGGAGCTTGAGGAAAGAGTAAAGACACTGGTGTCTGCAGACGCAGTCCTATTGGCGTGTTTGCCCCACAGAGAACTGGAGGAGGCCCAGTTGTTTAGAGGACTTAGGGGTCAGGGAGAATATTGTTTGTAGCACACCTTTATCTTAGGGACTTGTCTTCAGTGCAGGAGAGTCTATAGGGTGCTGTGTGGCGTTCATCTGACCGGTTTTACAGGCCGGGATGATAAAAATGGGTCAGAAGGGTCCAGGAATCATCACCATACACAGGCCACAGCTCAGGCTTGCTTTGTGCGTGGACACAGCTCACAGCCTCACTCATGTGGTTTTGTCTTTAATTCTCAGCCAGCAGGGATGCCAAGCCTTCTCTCTCTGTCCACTTCTTATGCCAGTTTGCACTGACACAGCTGGCTTCAGGGGGGAGGATTCTAGTAGTAGTTTACCCGTCTTGTGGTTAACTTAGATTACACATGATCTTTTCTGTTATAATAACTGAGCCTCTTTTGGACTTTTTTTTTAAAACTTGTATTTGATTACGGTGGCTCAAACCTGTAATCTCTAATATTTAGAAGGCTGAGGCAGGAGAGTTAGCCTGAGTACCAGGCCAGCCTGGGCTACAGCATGAGCATCTGTCAGGGAGGAGGAGGGGGGAGGAGGGAGGAGGGGGGAGGGGGGGAGAAGAGGGAGAAAGCTATCGTATTTTCTAGTCTTTAGATTTCACTGCCTGTGAACAGGTGTGGTCAGTTGCCATGGGTTTTCATGAGATAACTGTGGTTTTTCTCTGCTGTCTCAGATCCTGGCCTTTCTTTATAAGGATGATGGAAAATACAGCCAGGAAAAGTTGGATTAGAAATTGTTAAACAGAGAAGACTTGGGAGCTCGGGTATTTATGGTTTTTTGTTTGTTTGAGACAAAGTCTCAGTGTGCATCCCCCGGGTGCCTCGCAGAGGTCTGCCTGCCTCTGCCTTGGCTAAAGGCGTGTACCACGAGTTTTAAAAACCGTTGCTGTGTTTTAAAGGCAGTGCTTTGGCATACTTAGTCACTCTGCTTTAAGTATTGACAGGACACCCACAAGCGAAATGCATACCATTTTCACGTTTAAAACTAGAATCGGGTTATTAATGCCTGAAACTTGCAATTGAATTGGAAGAATTTTTACTTTGAATGGAAAATTCACCGTTTTTCTTTTTTTGAGACAGGGTCTCCGTAGGTAGTCCATGCTGGCCTGGAATTGGTCATATCCTCCAAGGGCTGTGATGATAGACATGGGCCACCACATCCAGCTGTGAACGGAAAGCTGACTATTTTTAGGGCCTCATTAAAGCCCTAAATACTTTCTATGATTTTGCTGAAATCATTTTTGAAAGGAATTGAAAAAAAATCACTTTTGACGTTATCTTTCAAATGACGGTTTTCTCCTAATTCCCAGACACTTGGGCATAGTCCTCGCCACGTGGATCAAGTTCTAGTGCATTCATTCATTCATTCATTCATTCATTCATTCATTCCTAAATGGCGAATGAATGCAGGCTCTACCTGGACAGGTGTTATCTGGTGACAGGGATGGCTTTGAAAGGCCAGCTGGCAGTCGCCTGCCCTTCAGCGGCAGAGGAGTTAATCTCGGGCCGGCCCCTTGCAGATGGGCACTGGACCTGGTCCTCGGGGATCCTGGGGCCGGGCGGGCAGGACGCCCACTCGGGGCGGCGGGGAGCTTGGGACTCCGCCCGCGGGGTGGCGCCGCCCGCCCGCCCGCACCGGCCAGGCGGGATCGCGGGCCCGGAGATGCTCTCACCTCCCGCTCGCCCTTCCTTCCCGACAGCCAGCGCCATGGGCAACATCCAGAAGAAGCTGCTGGGCCGGAGCGAGGGCGGCAGGCGGTCGCGGCGGGGCCGGACCCCGGGGCCCCGAGCCGAGCAGCAGGGAGGCCCGCGGGGGCCCGCGACGGCCGGAGGCGGCGACCACCCGCACCCCGGGGAGCCCCGAGCCCCCGACGGTCCCGGCGACCTCAAGGGCCAGGGCAACGAGCTGTTCCGCGGCGGGCAGTTCGCCCAGGCGGCCGCGCGGTACTCGGCGGCGATAGCGCAGCTGGAGCCAGAAGGTAGGGGAGCCGCGGCCACCTCCGCGGGGTCCCCGGCTGCTCCCGCCGGCCGGAGCCGGGGACAGAGGCCGGCCTCCCGCGGTGACAGGCTCCGGCCCGCATTCCTTCCCGGTGACGAGTCACCGCGCCACCTGACCTGCGTGAGCAATACCTGGGAGGAATGCGGAGCCTGTGCCTGTGCCGGCCCGGCAGGTTTGCGCCCCTCCCCTCCCCTCTTGTCCCCTCCCGTTCCCTCCCCTCCCGGGTGGCTGGTGCGGGGACAGCTCCTCCTCGGAGATCTGCAGGGCGAGCCGGCCGGCGGTGGGACCCACTGCAGTGCCGCGCTCGCGCGGGAGAGTCCTGTCCTTTAGGTCAACAATGGTGGTTTTGCTAAAGGGTTTTAACTGTGTTTAATTAAATGCGGTTCTAGGAAGCGCAAGCGCGGACGAGCTAAGCATCTTGTATTCAAATAGAGCAGCATGCTACCTCAAAGAAGGGAACTGCAGCGGCTGCATCCAGGACTGTAACAGGTAAACGCTCGCGTGCCCTTGCTCGCTAGGCTCGCCGGGTTTGTCAAGAGATGGCCGTAACTGCAGTGTGGTGATATGTAATAGACTTCTAAATTTTCTGTGTAAGAGCCTCGGTTCCTAAGGCTGTTTTCAAAGCGCTGTAACTAGAATGTAGGAAATCCCAGTCTACACACACGCAGACACACACTCTACAACCACACAGAATCATACACACTTTTTCTTTCCCCTTCTCCCACCAAAACTTGTCCTTTCCCCTCTGGTTTCCGGCCACTTGTCACCAGGGCAGCTCCTGCCGAATTTTGAGCAGGTTGTCGCCAGCAGCTGTCCAATGACTCAGTACCGTCCTCAGATAAACTCCCTTGGCACCACCTGGCTCCCCACGCTGGACCACCTCCCTGTACACTCCACGCATGCCCGTAGGCCTTCCTTCCTTCTGCCTCCTCGTTCCAGACACGGGTAGTGCTGTCTGCCCATCTTCGCACCTGAAACCCCGCTCCGCTCTGCTGCTGGCCTACCTGGTGGGTTTCCCCAGGCCCCCAGGCCATCAGCAGGCTGAGCCCTGGTCCCCACCCTTGGCTGCGCCCGGAGATCCTCCGCCCATTCACTGCAGGGCCGAATGAGTATATGCACACAAAGAAAACACTTTGTTGTCTTTTACCATTAAGTAATAAACCCTTGGGCAAGAAGTTTGTACATCTGAAAACAATAAGCCGTGTTCCAGGTGGACTAACACAGGCCTGGTTTACGCCTGCTGACTGGTATAATCAGAGATGCTCACACCTTTTCACCCACGCAAAGCTCTACTTTGAGCAATACATTTATGAGCCCTGTTTATAAGGCAAGCAGTTTCTTTCCTTGACTTGGCCGGCTTATTGATGTGGATTAAGTTTGGAGTGCTCGTGTGTGTGTGTGTGTGTGTGTGCGCGCGTGTGTGTGTGCGTGTGTGTGTGCTCTGTGTGTGTGTCTGTGTGTGTCTGTGTGTGTGTCTGTGTGTGTGTATGTGTGTGTATGTGTGTGTATGTGTGTGTGTGTATGTGTGTGTGTATGTGTGTGTGCTCGTGTGTGTGTGCGTGTGTGTGCGTGTGTGTGCGTATGTGTGTGTATGCGTGTGTGTATGCGTGTGTGTGTGTCTGTGTGTGTATGTGTGTGTGTATGTGTGTGTATGTGTGTGTGCTCGTGTGTGTGTGCGTGTGTGTGTGAGTGTGCGCGTGTGCGCGTGTGCGTGTGTGTGTGTGCTCGTGTGTGTGTGTGTCTGTGTGTGTGTGTGTCTGTGTCTGTGTGGTGTGTGTGTCTGTGTGTGTGTGTGCGCGCGCGCGCGTGTGTGTGTGTGTGTGTCTGTGTGGTGTGTGTGTCTGTGTGTGTGTGTCTGTGTGTGTGTGTGTCTGTGTGGTGTGTGTGTCTGTGTGTGTGTGTGTCTGTGTGTGTGTCTGTGTGTGTGTGTCTGTGTGTGTGTGTGCTCGTGTGTGTGTGTATGTGTATGTGTGTGTGTGTATGTGTATGTGTGTGTGTGTGTGTGTCTTTGTTTTTGCCAATATTACAAACTGAAGTTTAATACAACAGTTTATAGTTTGGTGTGACCTGTCTTCACCCACAGTTGTGCTAGCTCCCATTAGTTAACTGCTATGGTTTCAGGATTTTATGAGCTAGCTGACATCGGGTGGGTAGCCTGGAATCGGTCGTGGTACGGGCGCTAACACCATGAACACAATCAGATGCCCCAAATCTGAGCGTTCTCCCCACTGAGCATGCTGGACGGCTACCATGACCGAGAGGGCCATGCGAATGTATGAGCTGGTCCTGGGGGAGCCAGAGGGCCCCTGGGAAGTGGGGTGGGCAGTAGCTTAGGGAGAGTGACCACTGAGCTGTGTTCTAAGCCCAGGAATGTGGCTCTGCTAGTCAGTGCTGACCTCTGTGCAGGCCGACCTACTTAGGTGTTTTCCTCTGATACCTGGTGAGAGTCCCAGCAGGAGGGCTGCCTCGTGGGATGCTTTTACTCTCAGACTTGCCTTAACCGCAGAGAAGACACACGAATTCTTCAGGAGCATGTCCAAATACAGACGTATGTGAGTTTGCATGAACGACGGCTCGTCTCTTGGCAGAAGCATGATGATCGCCCCAAAGACCACACACCTTTTTCAGGAACCTTTGCGATTTAGTTTCAGTTAATATTTGCTTTTTGACAAGTTCCACGAACTCTTATTATAAGTCAAACCTTGAGAGATCTCACCTGTAATCCCAGGACTGGAGGAGGAAGCCGGAGGATCAGGAGCTGAAGGTCACCCTCAGCCACAGGGGGAGTCTGGGCTACATTAGACCCAGGCTCAAAAAACAAACCAGACGTTTTTGTTTTGGCTTTGATTTTTTTTTTTTTGAGATAGGGTTTCTCTGTGGCTTTGGAGGCTGTCCTGGAACTTGCTTGGTAGTCCAGGCTGTTCTCGAACTCACAGAGATCCGCCTGCCTCTGCCTCCCGAGTGCTGGGATTGAAGGTGTGCGCCACCACCGCCCGGCCAAACCAGACCTTTTAAAGAAGGGAAAACTTTTAACCAGTAAAGATACTGTTTGTGAGAATTATTTTTAATTATTTTTAAAGCATGTATTTGTTTTAAGTCATGTGTGTGCATGCATATGCCACATTAGTGCGTGCCTGGGGAGGCCAGAGATGATGTAATCCCCTGGAGCTAGAGTTACAGGTGGCTGTGAGCTGCCCGATGTGGGTGCTGGGGATCAAGATGAGGTTCTAACCACTGAGCTGTCTCTCCAGCCTGAGGATACATGTCTGTGTCTCTTTGGAGCAGCAGTGTTTCCCGGGGTTGTTTGCAGAGTCCCTCTTGGGAATGCTGGCGGTGCACGGGAGGTTGTGGCCCTACTCCTGCTTCGTGCTATGGCTTCTCCACATTGAGTATGTGCGCTTCATGTGAGACACAAAGAGGCTGTCTTGCCTAAGCAACACAATTGAACACACACACACACACACACAAACACACAAGCATGCTCTCACACACACACACACACACGAGCATGCTCTATCTCTCTCACACACACAAGCATGCTCTCTATCTCTCTCTCACACACAAGCATGCTCTCTCTCACACACACACACACACACACACGAGCATGCTCTCTCTCTCACACACACACGAGCATGCTCTCTCTCTTACACACACACACATATGAGCATGTTCATACACACAAGCATGCATGTATACACTCAAGCATTCACACACTTGAACACACACACACAGGAGCATGTTCTCTCTCTCTTTCTCTCACACACACATACACACACACGAGCATGTTCATACGCACAAGCATGCATACATACACTCGAGCATTCACACACTTGAGCATACATACATACACGCATACACATACACACATCTCTGGACAGCTTCCTATTTAGAATATTTAGATAGACTGAAGTTGCCTCTGCTCCCGACAGACTTGCCCACAGGGGACTCATGAGTGTCACCATTGTTAGCCTGAATAGCCAGCCTCCTGTCCCATGCGTGCTCCCAGAGTGTGTCTGTGTTTATGGTTTTACGATTCTTCTCGTTCATGGAATTTCCACTCATAAACTCATATCCATTCAGGATTTCGGTTAAAGAATAAAAAGGCTAAGTCCTTTCACTTCCTGTGTTAGGATATGCTAAGAGTCCTGTGTCCCAGTCTATCGGTTTTAGATTCCAAGCTTGACTGTGTGGTTCCTAGAGCAATGAACACCGGTGGGATGGAGGTGGCCGGGTGGGTGTGGCAGGGACACCTTTGCCGTCTCTGGTCTCACAGATGAAATTTATCTTTAGTGACACTGAAAGTACTTTACAGACTAATCAGTGCAAGATGGAAATTCGTGGCTAACAAGAAAGTGAGGTAGGTTTAGTCCTCGGTTCCCTTCTGGTCTGTGCCTGATACTCTGAGGGCAGAGTTGTTCATCGAGACCACCGGTCAGCTCTGTCCTCCAAGCCACTCCCAAACAACCACCCAGAGACTTACTATTAATTACAAATGCTTGGCAGATAGCTTCGACTCGTTGATAACTTTTACAAGTTAAATTAACCTATGTTCATCTCCTTCCTCTGCCTTGCTCTCCACTCCCAAGACTCCGCCCTTCTTCTCCCCAGCACCCTCCTCCTCTGGCTCCCTCACCCAGCCTCCCCCTGCCAGCCATAGGCAGTCATCTCTTTATTAACTAATGTGATACATGTTTACAGTGTACACAGACTGTTCCACAGTGGACCCCCTTTTACAATGAAATCATAATGAACTAAAAATAGATAGCTGATTCCAGAAGACATCACACAAGTTCTTGCAGTTCAGTAGTAAGGCACCTTATTAAATATTATAATACTTAATAGGATGCAATTAAGAATTATCTTTGAAAGTGTGTGTGTGTGTAAGTAAGTGTGTAAGTGGAGGTCCGAGGTCAATATCCAGTGTCGTCCTCACTCACTCTCCACTTCACCTGACCCCGGACTTGACAGATTCACCTAGACCAGCTGGGCAGTGAACCCCAGCAAGCCCGTGTTCACCTCTTCCACTCTGGGGTAACACACACACACACACACACACACACTGCCGTAGTGGTTTTATGTAGATGTGGGGAAATCTCAATTCAGGGCCTCATGCTTACAGAGCAAGTGCATTCCTGGCTGAGCCATCTCCGTCGTTGCAAGACTTCATAAACTATCCACAACGTGAATCTGGGGCTGGGGCCATCCTGGTTCTATTGGGGGAAAAGGAGGGACTACGGGGCTGCAGGGCCAGGGAGCTCACACTTCATGAGGACACTCCAGAGTGCTCTGTTGTCCTTGGGTTCCAAGACAGTGTGATTGCCGTGCTGCCAGGACCCAGGGCAAAATATCAGGTGTGGTTAGTGAGAGTCCAGTACTGCAGTGCACGTGGTTAGTGAGAGTCCAGTGCTGCAGTGCAAGTGGTTAGCGTGTGAGAGTCCAGTACTGCAGTGCACGTGGTTAGTGTGAGAGTCCAGTACTGCAGTGCACGTGGTTAGTGTGAGAGTCCAGTGCTGCAGCGCACGTGGTTAGTGAGAGTCCAGTGCTGCAGCGCACGTGGTTAGTGAGAGTCCAGTGCTGCAGTGCACGTGGTTAGTGTGAGAGTCCAGTGCTGCAGTGCACGTAGTTAGTGTGAGAGTCCAGTGCTGCAGTGCACGTGGTTAGTGAGAGTCCAGTGCTGCAGTGCACGTGGTTAGTGAGAGTCCAGTGCTGCAGTGCACGTGGTTAGTGAGAGTCCAGTGCTGCAGTGCACGTGGTTAGTGAGAGTCCAGTGCTGCAGTGCATGTGGTTAGTGAGAATCCAGTGCTGCAGTGCACGTGGTTAGTGTGAGAGTCCAGTGCTGCAGTGCACGTGGTTAGTGAGAGTCCAGTACTGCAGTGCACGTGGTTAGTGAGAGTCCAGTGCTGCAGCGCACGTGGTTAGTGTGAGAGTCCAGTGCTGCAGCGCACGTGGTTAGTGAGAGTCCAGTGCTGCAGCGCACGTGGTTAGTGAGAGTCCAGTGCTGCAGTGCACGTGGTTAGTGTGAGAGTCCAGTACTGCAGTGCACGTGGTTAGTGTGAGAGTCCAGTGCTGCAGTGCACGTGGTTAGTGAGAGTCCAGTGCTGCAGTGCACGTGGTTAGTGAGAGTCCAGTGCTGCAGTGCACGTGGTTAGTGTGAGAATCCAGTGCTGCAGTGCACGTGGTTAGTGTGAGAGTCCAGTGCTGCAGTGCACGTGGTTAGTGTGAGAGTCCAGTGCTGCAGTGCACGTGGTTAGTGTGAGAGTCCAGTGCTGCAGTGCACGTGGTTAGTGTGAGTCCAGTGCTGCAGTGCACGTGGTTAGTGAGAGTCCAGTGCTGCAGTGCACGTGGTTAGTGAGAGTCCAGTGCTGCAGTGCACGTGGTTAGTGTGAGAGTCCAGTGCTGCAGTGCACGTGGTTAGTGTGAGAGTCCAGTGCTGCAGTGCACGTGGTTAGTGTGAGAGTCCAGTGCTGCAGTGCACGTGGTTAGTGAGAGTCCAGTGCTGCAGTGCACGTGGTTAGTGAGAATCCAGTGCTGCAGTGCACGTGGTTAGTGAGAGTCCAGTGCTGCAGTGCACGTGGTTAGTGTGAGAGTCCAGTGCTGCAGTGCACGTGGTTAGTGTGAGAGTCCAGTGCTGCAGTGCACGTGGTTAGTGAGTGAGTCCAGTGCTGCAGTGCACGTGGTTAGTGTGAGAGTCCAGTGCTGCAGTGCACGTGGTTAGTGAGTGAGTCCAGTGCTGCAGTGCACGTGGTTAGCGTGTGAGAGTCCAGTGCTGCAGTGCACGTGGTTAGTGTGAGAGTCCAGTGCTGCAGTGCACGTGGTTAGCGTGTGAGAGTCCAGTGCTGCAGTGCACGTGGTTAGCGTGTGAGAGTCCAGTGCTGCAGTGCACGTGGTTAGTGTGAGAGTCCAGTGCTGCAGTGCATGTGGTTAGTGAGAGTCCAGTACTGCAGTGCACGTGGTTAGTGTGAGAGTCCAGTGCTGCAGTGCACGTGGTTAGTGAGAGTCCAGTGCTGCAGTGCACGTGGTTAGTGTGAGAGTCCAGTGCTGCAGTGCACGTGGTTAGCATGTGAGAGTCCAGTGCTGCAGTGCACGTGGTTAGTGTGAGAGTCCAGTGCTGCAGTGCACGTGGTTAGCGTGTAAGAGTCCAGTGCTGCAGTGCACGTGGTTAGTGTGAGAGTCCAGTACTGCAGTGCACGTGGTTAGTGAGTGAGTCCAGTGCTGCAATGCACGTGGTTAGCGTGTAAGAGTCCAGTGCTGCAGTGCACGTGGTTAGTGTGAGAGTCCAGTGCTGCAGTGCACGTGGTTAGCATGTGAGAGTCCAGTGCTGCAGTGCACGTGGTTAGTGTGAGAGTCCAGTGCTGCAGTGCACGTGGTTAGCGTGTAAGAGTCCAGTGCTGCAGTGCACGTGGTTAGTGTGAGAGTCCAGTACTGCAGTGCACGTGGTTAGTGAGTGAGTCCAGTGCTGCAATGCACGTGGTTAGCGTGTAAGAGTCCAGTGCTGCAGTGCACGTGGTTAGTGTGAGAGTCTAGTGCTGCAGTGCACGTGGTTAGTGAGAGTCCAATGCTGCAGTGCACGTGGTTAGTGTGAGAGTCCAGTACTGCAGTGCACGTGGTTAGTGTGAGAGTCCAATGCTGCAGTGCACGTGGTTAGTGTGAGAGTCCAGTACTGCAGTGCACGTGGTTAGTGAGAGTCCAGTGCTGCAGTGCATGTGGTTAGTGTGAGAGTCCAGTGCTGCAGTACACGTGGTTAGTGAGAGTCCAGTGCTGCAGTGCACGTGGTTAGTGAGAATCCAGTGCTGCAGTACACGTGGTTAGTGTAAGTCCAGTGCTGCAGTGCACGTGGTTAGTGAGAATCCAGTGCTGCAGTGCACGCGGTTAGTGTGAGAGTCCAGTGCTGCAATGCACGTGGTTAGCGTGTGAGAGTCCAGTGCTGCAGTGCATGTGGTTAGTGAGAGTCCAGTGCTGCAGTGCACGTGGTTAGAAAGTACAGATCTCATCTTAGGGTAACTGGCGTGGAACTCTGTCCTCTTAGGGCTCTGGAACTTCGCCCATTCTCGGTGAAGCCTCTTCTGCGCCGAGCAATGGCCTACGAAACCATAGAGAAATACGGGAAGGCTTACGTGGACTATAAGACAGTGCTGCAGATGGACGCCGGGATCCAGCTGGCAAGCGACAGTGCCAACAGGTAATTCAGGCTGAGGCTGCTCTCCAGGGTCTGTGTCCGTCAGAAAAGGGTCAAGCTCTTCCCTTCCCCTCCTCTGAGAACGCTGTCAAGTTTGTCACAGGTCCCCACCCACTGTACATGAATGGTCCCCTCTTCCTAACTCCATTCCTAACCATCCCTCCGTAACCCCTGGCTCAGCTTCTCCGTCTTGTGTTTATTTCTGTGAAGTTACTTCATTTTGACAGCACCGCGTGTACAGTTTCCATGTCCTCCTTAAAGGTGGACATCTAAGTCAGTAGTGACACCAGGCCAGTAAGAAGGTGCTGTAGACAGACTGCATAGACAATCTCTCACGGAGGCAAGAATCTTCAGACTATGGGCCTGAGAGTGTAGCTTATGGCCCTGAGTTCAAACCCTAGTAACACAGACGTCATGAATATTCAGGTAAAAATCAAAAAACTATGCATCAGATAGCATTTCCTAGTGATGTATTGTATTTTATATTTTCTTATTCCATTTTTCCCAAATGGCAGCTTTTCGAGCATTTCTGACTAATTCTGGTCTTAGTGTGCCATGCCTCACACACCCTGCAGAAGACAAAAGGCAGAGGTGGTGTGGTCGCTGTCTCTCAGCAAGCTAGAGGACAGTTAGGGGACGGGACAGTGTGCTGGACGGTGGGGTGCGGGGACTGTAGAGGGAGAGGCAGGCCTGGCCGTGGCTGCTGTACAGAGCTCTCTCAAGTGCCTTGGAAGGGCCCTAGCACAACTCCAGAAGGATCTGAGCACCTCAGGAGACGCATGAATCATCTGTACATAAATATAAAACTTTTTTATGCAAAAGGTATATGCAATTATAGACCCAACTAACATGAATGCATTTCACTAATTACCTGCCAATCTCCCAGTCTTGGGAAGTGTCTTTTGAAACCAGATATTTGTCCCAAAGAAATAACCCGATTTTGCTTTTAAATCTAAATTTTACTTTAAAAAAAACTACTTTGAGATAGGGTCTCACTGTGTAGTCCTGGCTGGCCTTGAACTCATGCTCCTATTGAAGGAGTGTACCACTGTGCTCACCCTCTATATGTTAAAGTGATAACCAACAATGTTAATCTGAATTTTAAGGTGGTCATTAAGTAAAGGCCTTAGTGTAATACTCTGATATTTCTTATTCATATAAGAAGAATGTCAGTGGACACGTTGAGAATCGAAAGAGCTCATGGGGCTGTGTTGGCGCAGTGGCGGCTTAAGGGGCAGCAGGATCTGGGCAGGAGAGGTGGCTCAGTGGTTAAGAGCACTGACTGCTCTTCCAGAGGTCCCGGGTTCAGTTCCCAGCACCCACGCTACAGCTCACAACCGTAAAATAAGAATAAGTGAATCATCTTAAAAAGAAGGGGAGAAGCTGGCCCTCATCCAGTCTGTCTCAGCCACTGCGGGGAATAGTTTTAGTTGAGCACAGAACCCCACAGGACTCCAAGCTGCTTCCGAGAGTAACACATTGCCAGTTCAGCAACTGGCTAAGGGTCACGGGGGATATTTCTCCCAGTCCTAAATGTTTCAGTTGCACGTCTCACTTTTTCAAAACTTAAAAATATAATTGTATGCTGAAAACTTTAAGCAAATAAACAGATATTAACATTTTCTTTTGAGTAGAAAATGTTCTCCTTGTGCCTGGAGGCCCATGTTTCTCAGCTAGCCAGGCAGGAGAGTCACAAGTTCAAAGCTCATGGGGGCAAGATGGGATAGGCCTTATCTCAAAACAAAAACAAAAACCCAAGAAGGAAAAGGAAATGGTCTAATTAAGCAATTAATGCCAACCTTTAAAAATCCCTTAGAAACAGTTATATGGACTGTGTTTTTCTACAAGGAAGCACACTTAGCTACAGCTCAGTCAGTATGACTATTATTGCGTTTCGGAGACAGGGTTTCTCCATGTAGCCCTTGCTGTCCTTGAACTCTCTCTGTAGACCAAGCTGGCCTTGAATTCAGGGATCTGCCTGCCTCTGCCTCCTGAGCGCTGGGATTTAAGGTGTGCGCCACCACCGCAGGGCACGCAGTCTGATACTTGATCAAACCTTTCTCTCTTCAGATTAACAAAAATATTAATGGAGCTAGATGGACCAAAATGGCGGGAGAGTCTGCCACCCATCCCGGTTGTCCCCACCGCGTCTGAGCCACCCCAAGTTCGGCCTCCTGCTGCAGAGCCCCCAGACCAAGAGCTACATCCCAGCGGCTGCCCGCCGGGCACCACAGGTGGGGAGGACTGCACCCTGCGCTACAGGAGCAAATTCCCGGGCTGCAGCCGAGGGGGCGGAGCCTGAGCTGGTTGTGGGACCTGGGGTCGGGCTTTCCTTCCTCTCAGCTACCCGACCGATGTCACCTCCTGTGTGCACAGGAGAGGGGGGCAGGGAGGAACCGAGGCGCGAGGTGGCTCCCAGGAGTAAATGGAGGCGCACGCCCACGGGACGTGGCCCCTGGGCTGCCTGTGGAGGCCGATGGCCACCTCTTAGTGTGGAGCCGGCATTACCGAGAGGAAGAAAAGGAACTGAGCCGTCCAGGAAGCCATGTGACGAAGTGACATTGCTGTAATAATATTGATGATGATGATGATGGATTCAGCCTGGTGTGTAAAAGTGCTTGCCGTGCAAACCTGAGTTCATCCCTCAGAATCCGTGGTGGAGGGGGGAGCAGACTGCCCCAAAACTGCCTCTGACCCCCACGTGCTTGCTGTGGGACAAGTCACATACACACATTGCGCAGACAAATAACACAGTCTCAAATGACAACGTGCAGATCTACGGTAGGAAAACTTGGGCGCTGGGTAAACGCCACACCAGGCTTTAAAACTTCAGTGTTATTCGTCAGATGTTTACTGGGTCTTTTGTTTTTAAAGGTTTGCTGATTTCTGTGTGTGTGGGTACTTTGCCTGGAGGTACATATGTGTACCACGTATGTGTCTGGGACCTGAAGAGGCCGGACAAAGGCATCGAATCCCCTGAAACTGAAGTTAAAATGGCTGTGAGCCACCACACGGGTGCTGGGGGTCGAACCCAGGTCCTGTGCAAGACAGCAAGTGCTCTTAACCACGGAGCCATCTCTCCAGGCCCTAGCTTTTAAAAACCAGAGTATGCGTGGGCGTGTGAATACAGGTGCCCACAGAGGCCTGAAACATCTGGCATGGGGCCAAAACCCAAACCCTGGTCCTCTACAAGCACAGCAAGGGTTCTTAACCCCCTAAGCCATCGCTCTGGCCAAGCTTTGTGGTTTTGTTTTTGTTTTTGTTTTTTTTTTTTTACTATTTTATTACTTTTTATATTCCAATCCCAGTCGCCCCTCCCTCCTCTCCTCCTGCTCCCCCCATTCTCGCCCCTTCCTCCCATCTGCTCCTCAGACAGGGTGAGGCCTCCCCTAGGAAGTCTAGTAAGTCTGTCACATCATCTAGTTGAGGCAGGACCAAGGCGCCTCCCCACCTACCACTCCCCTGTGTCTAGTCTGGGCAAGGTATCTCTCCACATAGAATGGGCTCCACTAAGTCAGTTTGTGCATTAGAGTTAGATCTTGGACCCACTGCCAGTGGCCTCATATATTGTCCCAGCCACACCACTGTCACCTATATTAAGGGAGTCTAGTTCAGTCTTATGCAGGTTCCCCATTTGTCAGACCTGAGTCAGTGATCTCTCTCTAGCTCAGGTCAGCTGATGCTGTGGGTTTCCCCATCACGGTCTTGACTCCTTTGTTCATATTATCACTCCTCCCTCACTTCGATTGTACTCCAGGAGCTTGACCCATTGGTTAGTTGTGGATTTCTGCATCTGCTTCCGTTTCTGGAAGAGGGTTCAAGCTTCTCTGGGATTGTGGGTTGTGTAGGCTGTCTATATTTTACTTTATGTCTGATATCCACTTTTGAGTGAGTACATACTGTATTTGTCTTTCTGGTTTTGGGTTACCTTACTTAGGATGTTTTTTTCTAGTTCTGTCCATTTGCCTGTGACTTTTAGGATGTCATTGTTTCTTACTGCTGAGTTGTACTCCATTGTGTAAATATACCACATTTTCTTTATCCATTCTTTAGTTAAGGGGCATCTAGGTTGTTTCCAAGATTTGGCTATGATGAATAATGTTGCTATGAACATAGTTGAGCAAATATCTTTGTGCCTCCCTGGGGTATATGCCTAGCAGTGGTATTGCAGGGTCTTGAGGTAGGCTGATCCCTGATTTTCTGAGAAATTATCATACTGATTTCCACCAGCAATGGAGGAATGTCCCCTGTCTCCATATCCTCTCCAGCATAAGCTGTCATTGGTGTTTTTGTTCTTAGCTATTCTACTCTATGTAAGATGGCATCTCAGAGTGGTTTTGATTTGCATTTCTCTGATGACTAAGGATGTTGAGCATTTCCTTAGGTGTCTCTCTGCCATTTGAGATTGTTCTGTTGAGAATTCTCTGTTTAGATATGTACCCCATTTTTTAATCTGATGATTTGGTAGTTGTCTACTTTCTTGAGTTCTTTGTATATTTTGGTTATCAGTCCTGTCAGATGTGGGGTTGGTGAAGTTGTTTTGTTTTTTTGAGTAAGGGTTTCACATAGTCCAGCCTGGCCCTAACATGATGGGGAACCACGAGTAACCCTGAATGCTGGGCTCCCACCTTCACCACTCAAGTGCTGGGATTGCGGGTCTGCACACCACCGTGCCCGTTCACTGACCGTATTAGTAGCCTATTTCACAGACTTATTCTGCCCTAAGTCCCGCTTAATGGAATGTCTAAAGCACTACTACCCAAGTGTTCAAAGGACGGCATGCTTCCCAACTGCAGGAAGCTGCGGGCCTCGTGAAGTCATGGAAGCAGCCATGTCTGAGACTCTGCCTCATGGCCTGGTTCTCTCGTCTCGCCCATGCATGGTTCTTGCTCCTGTGTCTCCAGGGTTCCAGAGGAGAAAAGAACACATGCCAAACGTGTAACACATTGCTCACATGGAACAGTGTTCTAACTGTTCACACACCCAGCAGCTTCTCCTCTTTAATTTTATGTCTTACTCTGTTTAGCTTAGCTCCTCGTGGTGTGCAAACGTGTGACTCTGCAATGGATAATTATTGATAATTACTGATAATTATTCTTAAGCTTTTATAGATGTACTCCCAGGAATGATTTCTCTATGTCTTTATCTTATTGCTCCCATAGATGAAAAAATGTTTCAAGTCCTTAAGGAAGAAGGAAATCAACTTGTAAGGGACAAAAACTATAAGGATGCCATTAGTAAATACAGTGAGTGCTTAAAAATTAACAGCAAGGAGTGTGCCATCTATACAAACAGGCAAGTTCTTCGTGGGATTCTGTAGGTCTTTTGTGAATAGCTCCTATTGCTTTAAAATCACTTTTGATAGATTCGCCTAAATTCATTGCCAGTTCTGCGTAATGCTCCTAGGAATCGGTATGCAGGCGGTCTCGGGTGTCTCTGAAAGAGCTGGGCTTTCAGTTGGAGAGAGGGGCTGGGAAAGATGAGGGTCCAATGACGAGGCCCCTTTGGCCACTGTTGCTGACTGAGCTGGTCCTCCTCTGGCCCTGCACTGTCTGCCTGGCCAGGCTGCAGCGAGCTGGGCCTGAGCTCTGTCCAGCGTGGGAGCTGGGACATGGGGGTGACCGATCGCCTTCAAAATGCTCTTATTCTAAAGTGCTAATGACAAGCCTCTCTTACATTGTGTAGAAGAACTGGCAGGTTCTAGAACTGTCTTTAACACTGCAATACTTCAGGGATTTGATGGGAGAAGGCACAGGACAGTCACTAGGAGAATAAAGAATCAGTTTTAAGCGTTTTTCTAGCTATGTCATGCAATTGTTAACTTTTTGTGAGAATCTCCACACATGAGTACTGGATTTACATCATTTAGCCCCTCCCTCCCGTAAAGTCTATTTATTTATTTACGTGTGAGCGTTTCGCCTGTTTGGATGTGTGCACCTCGAGCATGCATGGTACCTGCAGAGATCAGAACAGGGTCTTTGACCCCATGGAACAGGAGTTCCCAGCGGCTGTCAGCCACCACGAGGGTCCCCTGCAAGGACTCAGCTGCCGGGCCACCCGCCCCACCCCGCAGACAGACTCTTGCCCGGCCTCTTAGGGTGGCTTGTACTCATTTCCCTGCCACTAAGTTCGAGAGTTTCTCCCCTCTCCTTCAGCTCTTGCAGAGTGGCCAGGAAACCGCTCAGGTTTCTCTGAAGACCGTTTTGTGCCCGTGGCTACAGTGGCACAGAGCTCAAAGCCTGGTCCTCCCCTCTGCAGGCTTCCCACTGTCTGGTGGCCGCATCCCTGCCCCGGACTTGTGCTCATCCCTCCTGGCACCCATCCCCCCCTCACTTCTGTCTGCACCCGCCCCCCTCACCTCTTATCCTTGTGCCTCCCGGATCTGTTTTCCGATCTTCCTTACGGGAGATGCTGATTGGCCTTTCTTTCCCAAGCAGGCGGTAACCTCGGGTGGCCCCGCCTCTCCTGCCCTCCAGAGCGGGTGTCAGTTTCCCCGGGTGCCCCCCCCCCGTTATCTCTGACATGCCTGCCGCACCCCTGCCTTCTGTCCTTCCCTCCTGTCTCGCTCCCGGAGTCGTAGCTGCCATGTGCGAGCAGAGGGCCGTCTGTTACAGACATGCTCGGCTCCGGATGAAGCACGGGTGAACAGGGTCCTGGTGATGTGGCCTGTCCCCTCCCCCAGCCACACCCCTCCCCCACCGTCATGCTCCGCCCCGGGAAGGCTGTGCCCAGGCTGTGTCCTCTGCCTCCCTCCTCGCTCTGCCCCTTTCTCCTGTCATTTTCCCCTCGCGCGCCCATCTGCCTGCCTCTAGCTCGGTGAACGTATCTCGGTCAGTCTCTCTGCCTGGCTCTGCCCCACAAGCCCTGCTGCGGGTCTCGGCTGTGCTTCCAGAGCCCTTTACAGACTTTACGAAGATGCTCCTCTCTGTCCTGATTCCCGCCTTGTTGCGTCTCCTTTGGAGTCAGGGTATGTCTTGTTCACAGCGCCCCCCCCCATTAATGTCACGTCATCCCAGTGAGAGCGCCACTCCTGACTTCACATGTCACGTCCCAGCCGAAGCAACTGTGGCTCAAAACAGACTTAAGGCACTGGTTTTGATCCTCACTAGGCACTTTTCCTTCTCTCTCTCTCTTTTTTTTTTTTTTTTTTTTTTTTTTTGGTTTTTATGAGACAGGGTTTCTCTGTATTGTTTTGGAGGCTGTCGGTCCAGCCTGGCCTCGAACTCACAGAGATCCGCCTGCCTCTGCCTCCCGAGTGCTGGGATTAAAGGCGTGCACCACCAACGCCCGGCTTTTCCTTCTTTTTAAGCATACTGTGGAAATGTTATTTTTAGATTTTATTTTTTAACGTGCATGCGTGTGTGTGTGCACATGAGTGCAGGGGTCCGAGCAGGTGTCAGATCCCCCGGAGCAAGGTAACAGGTAGCTGTGAACTCTGGTTCCCCACAAGAGCTGCGCTTTTAAGCACAGCTGACGTCCCAGCCCCAGCTGTCTGAACCCTGACTGCTCCCTTTACCCCTCCTTGCGCTGTGCTAGAGCCCTCTGCTACCTGAAGCTCGGCCAGTTTGAGGAGGCGAAGCTGGACTGCGACCAGGCGCTTCGGATAGACGGAGAGAACGTGAAAGCCTGTTACAGACTAGCGCTCGCCCAGAAAGGACTGGAGGTGAGGGCGTCTCTGTCTCTGTGTGTAAATCGCATCTCTGAACAGAACACTGAGTGTGAATGTCGGGATCGTGAATCCTGGTATACACCAAAATCCCGGAGCCGACTCCCAGACTCCACCCTCACCTGCAGTGTGGACCGGTAGTTTCTAAGTTCCCTCTCCTGCTCGGCTGCAGTCCACAGGGAGCATTTTGGCTACAGTTTTCCAGCTCTACTTTCCTAAGGCTTCAGGGAATGCTCACTTTAAGGGAGATGGCTCATTGCCGCTGTGTTACTGTGTAAATATAGGAAACTTTCAAAGAAAAACAACAACAACAAAAACAATCACTAGCAATGCCTTTGGCTCCCAACAAAGATTGCAGTTGGGGGGGGGGCATCCTGATGGCTCATGGGCCACCCAGCGGAAACAGAGAGATGTAGCCAAGATGTAGCAGTTTACAGTGGGCTGGCCCTGAGCTAGCTTAGCTGATGCCCCGTGGAACTAACTGCACAGGATGCTCTTCTCACAACATACCGTGAGGCAAGCAAGCTCTGTGTAAACATGCTTCTCCTCATGCAAACTCTCCTGAATGGCAATCTTCTCCCTTTGTTTTATAAAGACAGGGTAGGGTGTGTGTGTGTGTGTGTGTGTGTGTCTGTCTGTCTGTCTGTCTGGTTTCTCACTTCCTAGATAGCAGAGCCTGGCTTTGAAGTTGGTTTTCCTGTCTCCACCTCCCACGTGGTGTTCTGCATAGCAATGTGGGTCACTGACTGTTCACTCGTAGGGAATAACATTACCAGGGACCTGCTACTGCAGAATACATTTCCTGAAATGTATTTTCTGGAGAAGGGGGGGGGCTTATTCAGACAGGGTTCACTCTAGCATGGGGTAGCCTGAAACTCACTATATAACTCAGGCTAGCCTCAAACTGGCAATCCTCCTGCCTCAGCCTCCCAAGTACTAAGAAGATAATTGATACATGAAGACTCCCACTGGATTCTTTTTGTTTGGTTGTTTTTAGAGACAGGGTTTCTCTTTGTAGCTTTGGAGCCTGTCCTGGGGCTAGTTTTACAGACCAGGCTGGCCTTGAACTCAGAGATTCACCTGCGCCTCTTCCTCCTGAGTGCTGGGACTAAAGGTGTGCGCCACCACTACCCAGCTCCCACGGACTCTTAAATGTCTCTTAGCCCCTTTTTCTTCCATTTTTCCCTTCCTCCTCCTTTCTTTTCCCTGGCACACCTCATTCACTACCCTTTCTCCACATGACTACATTCTAATGTACCGAGAGTTAGACCTTCAACTATGAATTGGGGAGTGGGGATTCAAATCATAACAGCAGGTGAGGATTAATTCAACATTAGTTGAAGGTAAAATTGGGAGGACAAAACAGTATAAAGTGTCTTGGGGGAGTGGTGCCTCCTGGTCTCTGAGGTGATAATAGAGGACAGCACTGGATCTTCAGGTCTCTGTAGATCCCGCATCCTCTGAGGACGGGATCATCAAGTCTCTGTAGATCCCGCATCCTCTGTGAGGACCGGTTCATCAGGTCTCTGTAGATCCTGCATCCTCTCAGCCTGCACAGAGCCAGGCCTGTGACTAGCAGCCAGGCCAGATGCAGCTGTTGGGGGTCGGGAGGGGGCGGTGGCTGCAGTGCATGCTATGCCAGCACCATCCACCCCTTGCTAGCAGCACTCTAACCCGTAAGCCCCCGTAACGATTTCTAGATGGTATGTGGCACCCTGGGTTCAAGAGACTCGTTCAACACTGACTCAACCCTGAGCTTTGGGCCAGTGATGTGTGTACTCTGTAGGGCCACACCTTGAGCAGGTAGCTCGTGCTGGCCTCTCCGGCCGGTGGAAGGTCAGCAGCTCTAACAAGGTCCGGAATTTTATGTCTGTGATGATGCACACAGATAACATCGAGTTGGAGCAGCTCTCTCCTTCGCTTATGCCCCTTAGCTTGTTTTTCCGGCTTGGCTTTGGCAGCTTATCTGCTCGGTAGGTTGAGCTCCATGCCAAGGAAACTCAGTGTCCGGCCCTTCATGTGGTGAGACTTTTGTAAGACGTGGCAGGTTCCCTGCCTGTACCTCCAAGCTGAAGGCTGCGCAGAGCTTGTTCTCAGCTGTCTTTAGGGGTGTGTGCACTGTGATGTGTGTGTGTGTGCCAGTTCTTTGCAAGAACAGATATCTACATGTTTGGCTTTTATTCAGAATTTATCTTACTGAGGACTGATTATATCCTAGCTCCTGTCAATTAGATTTCAGACATGGTTCCCGGCTTCAGTTTCTCCACATAGCAGTCTGCAAGGCCCAAACGTTCAAAATGAACAGTACGTAGTAAAGAATTCAACAGTTTAATACTATTACCATAACATGTGATTACACTGTATCTTTAAAAAACACATGTTGGCGTGTGCCACCTCGCAGACGTGGCCAGGGGCAGCTTGATGGACTTGGCTCTCTCCCTGCACCTTTATGTGGGTTCCAGGACCCAACTCGGGCCATCAGGTTTGTGTGGCACACGCAGGATTTCACCCACCTCGCCAGCCCTGTGCTGTTTCCTTTAAACATGGTTTATTACACTTTTATTTGGGTGTGTGCACACCACCACAAGTGGTCAGAGGGTCACCTGTGGATTCTCTCCTTCAACCACGTGGGTCCTGGGACCAAACCTAGGTGGTCAGGGTTGGCATGGAGAGCCTTCACCCCTGAGCCATCTCTCCAGGCCATGAGGACAATGGAGGCTGCCCTCTGACATCGTCCCATCTCTGTAGGAATGCAGAGTCACTACTAGATGCTCAGTCACATATGTTGCTGTACCCAGGAAGCCATCACCCCACCCTGATTGTTAGCAACTTGGCTTCATTATTGCCAGTGTCATCAGTCTTAATCAGTGATCAGTGGGGAGGGCCCAGCCCATGTGGGTGGTGCCATCCCTGGGCTGCTGGTCCTGGGTTCTGTAAGATGGTGGGTTGAGCAAGCCAGTAAGCAGCTCCCCTGCCTCCAGGTTCCTGCCCTGACTTCCTTCAGTGATGAACAGCAATGCTGAAGCGTAAGCCAAAAAACCCCTTCCCTCCCCAACTTGCTTTTTGGTCATGGTGTTTTTGTCACAGCAATAGAAACCCTAACTAACACACCAGGGAAAAACATCTCTGGGCGTGTGAGAGATGCCTAGATTAGGGTAAACTGGGAAGACCCACCCTAAATCTGGGGGGTAGCGTTTCATGGACCGCAGGTTTGGACTGAGTGAGCATAGACACTTGTTTCTCTCTGCTTCCCGAGTGTGGATGCCTGTGCCAATAGCCCGTTGTTACACCTTCCCTGGCCACTGTGAGCCGAAATAAACCCTTCTGGCAACAAGGAAAGTAATTCGGGGCTAATGAGTTCACTTGTTTCATTCATTCATTCATTCAGCAGAGGAGTGAGTGCCTGGTGTGCTTAGAACAGAGGACATAGAGACTACCTGTGTCCTCTCCACCACTGTGGAGGTTTGCCGTAGTATGTAGTCACTTCTGCCTCACAGCGGACTCATCCACGCCCACTGGGTCAATGGCACATACCGCCGTCACCCAGGCTAATCCAAACCATCCTGTCTTGTGTTTTCCAGAACCGCCTGGAAAGCTCAGCTGACCCGAGTCAGGATCTTCTGCACCCAGATGCGGGTGAGGCAACCAGGCCCCCGGACGCTAAGACTGGCACGGCGCCTCCCAGCAAAGGGAGGGAGAGGAGGAGAATCCAAGTCCAAGAGGTATTTGCATTCAGACGCTTTGAAAGCACTTGCTGAGGCTTTGTATATGCCGAATCCTAAGGTTATTCCTGTGAGCTCTACCAGACCAGATCTCTGTTTATTCTGATTGTCAGTGAACATCTGTCTTTGGATGTGCCACTAGTCACTGTGTTTCTCAGCAGGAGCCATGGAGAGTGGGTGTCTGCGTCAGGGCAGTTCTTGCTCTCACTGTCGCCTCAGCCTGGCTTGTGCCCTGGGAGCTGTAGACCACAGGCTTCTCTTGGGGTCGGCATTTGGAGAAGACAGAGCTCATCCTTAGCCAGGCAAAGCACTTCTGGTGGGGGCTTTGCCAGGCTGCCGTTTTGGTTGCTCTGTAGATCTGCCTGCCCTGCCTCCTAGTGCTGGGATCAAAGGCATGCAGTCACTCCTGGTCCCTCGTCTCTCCAGAGAGCCTGGGCATCATGTCTACAGAAAGCCCTGTTTGCTTTGTCATCCGTCTATGAGTCTATGTCAGGACATACGCTCCTGTGAATCCATGAATGCTGATATCGTATTTATGATCTGACATTCCCAGTAAGGGGCAGCAGGTGAGAACCTAGGACTGTTTTCCCCTTGGGTCAAGAAAATAACTGTTCTAAGAGAAATGACAAATGTAGGCTCGCTTTATTAAACATAAGGAAATGAAAATGAATGTAAAATTGATCATAAAAATAGAAACTGTTTTTAGTGTAGGATAGCTTTTTAAAACTTCTTGCCCTAACTTCTTCTTAAAGAAATTATGTATTTTATAATGTATTAAAATTTTTATTTTTTTATCTATGTGGTGGTGGCACACACCTTTAATCCCAGCACTCTGGAGGCAGAAGCAGCTATCTGAGTTTTGAGGCCAGCTTGATCTACAGCGTGAGTTCTAGGACAGCCAGGGTTACACAGAGAAACCATGTCTCAAAAAAAATTATTTTCACTTAGAACTTGCACTGACATGCTATGTGCAGCTCTCAGGTCACATTACGTGTAACTTGTGATGTATGACTGGTGTTCAGTGCCATGATGGGGTATAATTTTCTATTGTGAATTTCCTAAGGTGAATGAAAGCAGTGAGGAGGAGCTCGAGACAGCTGCAGAGGCCGCTGCAGCCTCCCCGCCTGCCGAGGGGGTAGCTGGTCATGGAGGAGGGTCTGCAGAATGCTCCCAGAGACTCGCGGTCTCCCGGCCCAGCAGCGCCTATGAGTTTGGACAGGTCCTAAACACCATCTGCACCAGGAAAGATGCAGAGGCCTGTGCACAGCTGCTGGCCGTCACTGCACCCAGAGACCTGCCAGTGTTGCTAAGCAACAGACTGGAAGGGGACATGCTCTTCCTCCTCGTCCAGTCCCTGCATAGTCACCTCGCGGTCAAGGACCCCTCGCTGGCGTACGAGCATCTCTGGTCCTTGAGCAAAGCACAGAGGTTTAAGGTAGGCAGCCACACGCCTGGCCTGGGAGGAGCCTGCGCTTTGGGGCCTCTGACTCTTTGCTTGTGCTCACCCGACCGTTACGGTGTTCCTGCCACACCGGAACACCGGGTTGTCCCCCCTTCCAGATGACCCTGACACTAATTAACAAAAGCCAAAAGGAGCAGATGGCCCAGCTGCTTGACAGCCTAGCACAGGCGCCAACCGACGGTTTTACTGCGGAGGATGTGCAGGCCCTAAGAAGGGAGTATGAGCTTTAACACCGGCTGCCGCGTTCCCGACGCTCCCAGACCGCACTGCCATAGAGCAGCAGGGGAGGCTACACTCAGAAGGATCTGTGTTTGCACTGTTGGACGTTGTACTTATTTTTATATACAGAATACACACACATATATATATTACAATCCAGTTTTTTACGAAACAGGGTTTCTCTGTATTGTTTGAGGCTGTCAGTCCAGCCCAGCCTCGAACTCAGAGATCCGCCTGCCTTTCCCTTCCGAGTGCTGGAATTAAAGGTGTGCACCACCACCACCTGGCACAATCCAGTTTTTGTTGTAAATATTCTGTTCTAGAGCCAGCACCTTTATATTTAATAGCTACATTCGGAACTTGGCAAATTGCATTCTAATTTCTAGTCCTTTCAGACACGAACTGAAGACATTCATTCCTATCTTTAAAAGTGAATGTTAACTTTTCATGACTGCATCACCGTCTATCTCCCTCAGATATGCATAAAATCCACGTTAGCAGAGTGGCTTATTGTCAGTTGAAATGACAACACTTACGTCTACAAGACCATTACTAGTTTAGAGACACAAGGAACTTATTTTTTCTAATATGAAAACAAACATGCCTAATAAAAATTACCGAAACGTCCAATCATTTTTACTATGTGACTTTCCTCATATGTGACCTGTAAGTAGTAAGACTATACTCAGCCTGTAATTGTCTTCTGCTTTGAGTACTTTTTACAGTAAAGGGGAAATGTATATAAAGTCACTGGTTGTCCCTTTTTCTGGGCTAAAGGTATTTGCTGTGTCATAAGCATCCAGGCCTTTAAAAAGGTGTGTTTAGTATTAATGTATTGACTGGGTGTCTGCATGTGTACCTGCCTCATCCACGCAGGACGGAGGCCAGCAGAGAGGACTGGAGTGAGAGATGTGAGCCTCCTGGTGAGTGAGCCCTGGGCAAAAACGGCCATCGCCAGCCTCCACTCCAGGTCCCGATCGCCGCACTGTCATTTACTCCTATATTGCATGGGCATGCTTTTTCAGGAGTCCGCAAGACTCATCGTGGGTACATGGTACCTTTCAAACTCTGCCATTTCTCTTCCTCAAACAGTTCTCTGCTTTTACTTACACCCACTGTAATCGGTTCTCTAGTCCTTACATACGTGTTTTCATAATGGTAGACGATGGATCGTTATACATACACACATGATGGCAGTCTCGTAAGACTGTATCGTGCCGGGCGGTGGTGGCGCACACCTTTAATCCCAGCACTCGGGAAGCAGAGGCAGACGGATCTCTGTGAGTTCGAGGCTGGGCTCGACCGACAGCCTCGAAAACAATACAGAGAACCCATCTCGTAAAACCAAAAAACAAAAAAAAAAAAAAACAAAAAAGACTGTATCGTGTACTGACGTCACAGATAACTTACCTAGTTCCAGTACATCCTGCTGATGGTGTACACTCATCGGGGATGGATGGCAACTGCTTTTACCCATGTTACTGGAAGAGGATAAGAACATCCACCTCCATGAGTGCTCTGAACGTGCTATTACATGGGATATACTCACTCTCCAGACAAGTGGCTGGCTGGAGCTCTGGCGCCCCCTCCTGGATGCAGTCCTGTGGAGTGCCTGCAGTCATGCAGGAACCAATGGCGCACTCCAGAGTAGCTCTTGTACACCCTGAGACAGCTGGCTGAGAGGCCACGTGTGAAGTAACCAACTGATACAGAGGGGAACTAAAACTGTGAACCCCGGAATACAGCACCATGGTGATAACCCTAAACGATCTGACAATCTGGAGAAACACAATGACATCAAATATAAGGCTCTCTAGTAGAATAAGTGCCAATGGGGTGTTTAAGGGACAATGGTGTAAACACTAAGCTAAGTCCATGAGAAATACCTGAGAAAGGGCTGGAGAGACGGCTCAGAGGTTAAGAGCGCTGGCTGCTCTCCCAGAGGTCATGAGTTCAATTCCCAGCACCCACATGGTGGCTCACAGCCACCTGTAATGAGATCTGGTGCCCTCTTCTGGCCTGCAGGGCCAGAACACTGTAGGTATAATAAAATCTTTAAAAGATACCTGAGAAGGATTAAATTGGTTTGTTTTTTGAGACAGGGTTTCTCTGTACTGTTTTGGAGGCTGTCCTGGAACTCACTTTGTAGACCAGGCTGGCCTCGAACTCACAGAGATCCGCCTGCCTCTGCCTCCCGAGGGCTGGGATTAAAGGCGTGCACCGACGCCCGGCAGAGGATTACATTGTTTTGATGCGGAGTTTCAGTGTCACTGCAGTGACAACAGCCATCCCTGTACCGCACATGTGACTGGCGCACAAAGCAGCTTGACCATCTACCTTTCCTTAAACACATTTCAATCCTCAATGTCACTTTGTCTCTATCAGGTCAGCACTTCAGTCTGTGTAATAGGGATGACTACTTCCTACAACTGAGTGACGTGTGGGGAGCTTATTCAGCTGGTGGAGTTTCAGCCCAGACCACCCTGTGCTACACAAGTGTTTACTAGGATGCCAATAAAAAAAGAGGAAAGTGCTGCAAATGTGGACCTGCGTTCATGCAGTGCTGCTGGGAGCAGACGGTGGACTGTCAGTTTCCCACAAACTTAAAACACCCAAGTCGAAGAAAACAAAATATATGCTCATATGAGAGCTCATAAAAATGGATAGGAACATTATCATTATAGTAAAAAAGCAGGTACCACTGAATTGTCTGCCATCCACTGAACATGTGAACAAATGTTAGGCCACACCAGAGGATGCTATGTAGTCATAAGAGGCATGCTGGAACCATGTTGCCGGCGAGGCGTGGAGTCAAAGGCAGGTAAACCTCAGGAGTCTGCACAGACGAAATGTCCACATGGACAGATGCAGAGACTGAAGGCAAGTCTGTGCTTGGCAGGAGCTAAGAAAAAGCAAGGGGGGCTGATAACCGGTGATGAAATTGTTCTAAAGTTAGTGATTTGGTTGTACAAACCCTTTGAATGGAGTAAAACTAATGAATCATATGCTTTAAAAGGTATTTCAGAGGGAGCTGGGATTGACACGTGAAGCAAGCTCTTTTCTAAAAAAAAAATGCAATAAAAAATAAAAAGATGGACTGTATCTCAATTTTCAAAAAAAAGGGAGGAAAAAAAGTAAATTATATATGTGTGTGTGTGTGTGTGTGTATATATATGGAGGGAGAGAGAGCAAGCTGCCTAGGTAGTCGAAAATGAGGTAAACCCCTAGGATTCTGTCACCACTTCTAAAAGGCCAGCTGTTTGAGCCTTTTGGGATTTACTGAGAAGATGAATACAAGTTAAGTGGAAGGGCAGACACCTGTGATTAAAAGTAATGCACGCTGTCCACTCTTACACTCCTGTCTCACACTGTGTTGGAGGCTGAAGTCCATCCCAACTGGCCAAACACCAAACGAGTTTACTAAAGGCGTCCAGAATACAAAGGAGGAGGTAAGGCCGTCTCCACGTAGATAACTATGTCTGAAAAGCGTAATAAAAATCTTAAATATCTGTAAAAAGTTATAGGTATGACTATGTTGTATGGGTGAAAATCAATTATAAAAATCAACAGTATGTTTGAAACAATAAAAAAACCCTAGGATTATAGGGAAGGGCGTGGTGGCGCACTGGAGGCAGAGGCAGGTGGATCTGTGAGTTGGAGCCAGCCTGGTCTACAGAGTGAGTTCCAGGCCAGCCAAAGCTACATAGTGAGATCCTATCTCTAAAAACACTAATACCTAAATAAAAACAAAACTAAGACTGTAAATACAACCTGAGGAAGACTTTGCTCATGGCTAGAAGGTGTGAAGGTCACAGACATCTAATATATGAAACCCCACAACTCAATAAACAGCAACACAAGGCTCCCAGGCTACTGAGGTTCTTAAAATAAAAATATTCACAATTTATATGCGAATTTCCCGAGGGATCTCGGAACTATTAGAATGAAAGAATGAGGTTCCTCAAACAAAATTATTCAAGAACCAGGTGTTTTTCTCTACCGTGAGTTACAAACAGGAAATGCCCTTTTAAAAGGTAACACTAACAGCGGTACCTGCAAACAGCGAGGCCATTACAGACAGCTGCAGGCTCCACGCAGACCCCGTCAGAGCAGGCAGAACTTGACAGTCCCAACCTGCTTATGGAAATGTAAAATGCCAACAATAGTCAAAACATTTCAAGAGAAACAAGACTTGCCTACCTATAAGACACCCACTTCCAGTCTTAAGATCTACCTCTCGATGCCCTACTCACTAACTGATCAGTTTCTGTCCGCAGGTCCCGTCTGAACTCTGAAGGACGTGTACGCAGTTTTATTTACCTACTAACCAATGGCTATGAATAGAACGGAACTCCGTCTGTGTCACTCAAGATCTAGCACTATTGGCAATGATTCACCTAAACGAGGGCGATGTAAGACAGGGGTAATGAAAGAACCATATAAGTAAATGTTCTCCTGGAGCAGGAAAGGAAACAGAAAGGTGAAGAAGGATTGACTTCTCGTTTGGATCATGTCGTGTAGGAAGCAGAGCAGCTTTTAACACAAACTTTGACCTTTAGTGATCCAAGTCTCTACCTAGATAATACATCATGCTCCACATATTTATAAATTATCCCAATTTCCAGCACAAATGAGACTGGCAATTTATGATCTGGGGGTGGTGGCGCACGCCTTCAATCCCAGCACTCGGGAGGCAGAGGCAGGTGGATCTCTGTGAGTTCGAGACCAGCCTGGTCTACAGAGCGAGTTCCAGGACAGCCTGGGCTACACAGAAAAACCCTGTCTCAAACAAACTAACCAAAAGACTGATAAGCAAATTTAACACAAGCTGATTTTGTGCTCTGAAGCTGAAAAACTGAACATTCAGAGAATCCTGCTAACACAGCAGTCTATGTAACCAACTATAAGGCATGCTATTGTGATCTTTGTACTTTGTCCTGGTCCTCAAGAGGTACGGTTTTAAAAATGATTCTTCAGGGGCTGGAGCAATGCTAAGTGGCTCAGAGCACTGGCTGCTCTTCCAGAGGGCCTGGTTCAACCCGCAGCAACCACAGCTTGCAGTGTCCATCCCACCGGGTGAGAGGAAGGCCACCACCACAACCTTCAGCCAACTTTGAAGTGAGCTTGGTCTTCTTGGGGCGCACAAATGCTAAGTCGGGATAAAGAGAGCAGCCCCAAGTCCACTCCTGGGGCCCCTTTTAAGGAGCAAAACACGAGTACTCACTAAGCAAGTTTGCAGAAGAAAGACAACAGAGCAATAAGGAAATACAGACAAATCTCAACAAAACAAAACCCAAATCAACCAACCAACCAAAAATCAAAAAATAAAAACCAGCCCACCTGTAACTGCAGTCCTGGGGGGGGGGACACCCTCTTCTGGCCTCTGACAGCACTGTATGGACATGGTACACAGACACACCTGCAGGCAAAACACTCCCTTACATAAAACAATAACTCAGAAATACCTCAGTGAGTTAGCGCTGGTTTTCCATGGAACCCTGGAGGAATCAGATTTGGTCCCTTAAGTTTACCGTCCTACATGAATTAATCCCATCCAGAGCTGGAGACACAGGCACTTTTGAAGCTATCCCAGCAAGGTCTGCGTTGATGTCAATCTGAGACCCTTCCCAGGAATCCTCCCGGGAGACAGGCTTTTGGGTACGCCGTGAGGGACTAATACATCAGGGTGACCAGTGTGGAGACCCACCTTCACTGTGGGTCTTCGTGGGCTGGGGCCCAGGAGTGAGTAA